AGTACGTGGGTCAGTCGCGTGGCTGATATTAATATACAAATAAATATTGACCATCATTCAAAAAGGGTTGAGACTGATAGCCACAAAAGGGGTTTGTTGATATATGTTGCAGGGAACTTCTTTGATCTTCAACAATTCTGAGACGATTTCTGAATTTTTCTGCAGACTTTAAACTGCTGAAAGAAACCTCTTAGAGCCCCCTTCGAACATGGTTTATAATCATTAAAATCGAAAAGTTATAGCAATCATGCCTTTAGGGCATAATATCTGCTTGCTTATTTCTTATCTGTCCACTTTATGAGATGGCTATGGGACCCCTATATATATATACCACTGTCACCATCAAAGATTTGCGCGCCAAAAAGTCAAAGCACTTGAGAAGTCATCCAGGGCTCGTAAAAAACCGAAAAATGGGAAAGAATTTCAGCAGCCTGCTGTGTGGGAACCATACCCGATTCCAGTTGAGTCGAGTTTGAGTTGCCCGTGTTGCAGCATGTGACAAGAACAACAACATTTTGGCACTGTCCGACAGACAGACTGACAGACAGACAGAAAGAAGATCAAAAACTGTTGCATTCATTGTGTGTGTTGTGTGGCACTTGTTTTAGTTTCGAGCGCACACATTGTGACCCAAATTGCTTTTTGGCGAAAACACAACAGAGCAGAGAGATGCCGAACAAAGCCAAAAGGGAATGGGAATGGGAAAGGGAAATGGATTCGGATTTGGATTTGGCAATGTGCCGAGCACAAGGCGAGCTCATGTCCTGATAAATGGCCAACCACTTGACCAGGACAATGGTTCGGTAGAGCTGCTACTATTCAAATTATATAGAAAATTGCCAGTAAAAGCACAAACTAATTGTATTTTGGGCCCAATACAATGCGCAGTGAACGGGCCAAGCCCCGGGAGGGGGTGCCATGGGAAAAACCTTAATATTTTTGTATTTTCTCAATTTCGCAAAAGATCACATTGGAGTGTGTGGAGCGTCTGTACGGGCATGGGAAACTCAAGTGGCACACAGCGGGCTATCGATTGTGGCATGGATGCAATGTGGCAGGCAGATGATCAGCCTTGCCTTGCCTTGCCTTATAATCTAATCTTTATATTTTTTGCCATGGGGGTCCATGGGGTCTCTGCATGTGTATGGGTTGGCCTGAAAACCCCAATATGTGCGACAGGCATATCAAAATCGAATTGAAATGCCAACAAGTCATAAAATTCTATGCTATAAACAAGAAGAAAATTCTGACTGAGCAATCTGAAGCGTAGATACCCTTGCAGAATTATAATTCCTAATGATTTCTGGGGTTTGCTTGAAAATCATCAAATAACAATTTTATTTTATTTACAATAAAAGTTATTGGGATAAAATAACGAAAAAAATGCTCAATGTTAATATGTGAAAACTTAAGGACAAATGTATGTACCCTCTGTTCCTGTTAGAGTATCCAAATAAATATAAAAATTCATATCTAAGCGTGTCAAGAACATTGTTCGCTCATTAAACGACGGAATAGCGACAAAATCGCCATCCACATACAGAGTGCCCCCCACGCCCCCCTATTCCCCCGCAATATTTGTTGTTTCTACTTCTGTTTCTTCCATACAATACTAACTTTTGTTATACCACTACAGCCGTTATAAATATGTATTGAGTGGGGGAAGTAGAGCAGGAAGGCGAGCAAGAGCGGGCGACTGGGGGAGTGAGTGCACTGAAAACTGAAAGCATCGTTGATTAGTACTTCCTGAGGCTGTTTTTCTTTATTACAGTCGAGATATTCCATATCACGCAGTGGCTAGAGAAACAGAGAAAGAAAGAGAGAGAGGAAGAGGTTTGTCAACAAACAAAGAAACAACTGCAGCGTTTGATGACAGAGGGGAGAGAAGCTTGCGACCAGCTTATCAGTGGCACCAGCATAGGAGGGGTCCATGGGGGTTCCACTGTAAGCAGGAATGTAGAAACGGAAGACGCTACAAAAGCAGATAGAAAAGACATGAAATGAAATTTCAGGTGTGCATCTATTAGAGAGTATGGCAACGGCTGCATAAAAACTCAGCAATCAATTAGTATTCAGTAATTTGATACCTTCAAAATGAAGCTCCTGCAATCATATTTTCGTCTCACTGCCAGAGACCCTATTTCTCATACACAACACCCACCCAAGGAGACGGCACAAGAGCGGCAGCAATATCCCAGAACGATTCCAGCCTTAGTTAATGGACAATTGATTTCCTCTTTGAGCTTTCTTCGGCTCCGGCTCGGAGCGCATTTAAACTCTGAACCCAGCAATTGATTGCCAGCGAGAAAGCTTCATTTGGCGGACACTGTCCGTCCGCCCGTCCGTCCCTTGGTCTGTTGGTGTGTGTGTGCGTGTGAATGAATGCGTTCTCTAACATCGAAATGAATTGCTTATTTTGACATTTATTAAAGCTTTAAATAAAATTTATGCAGAAAATCAATTAGTGGAGGAAGACCATAAAAGCGGGTTGAGCAGTGGGAGGGGCACCGGAGACGGACCTACGCACGCAGCCGAAAGTCAAGTAACGCGAAAAGTATCTTGAGAATATTTCTCACAATCGGTTTGTGGACAAGACGAAGAAGGAAAAGACAAAAAAAAAATATCCTGAACGCGACTAAAACGAGGAGAAAATGTAAGCTTTTGAGAGTCGCTGCTGTTGATACCCTTGCAGATGCGATTTTTCCCATAGCAGCTACTAAATTTATTAATCCGTACTTGATTGTTTTTGGATCTAGATACTGTGAGTAGCAAAAAGATGATTCTGGGAGAAGTTCTGGCTTGTTTTTGGGTCGCTGAGGCTGCCTTCCATCTCACACATCTGATCAAGAACAAGCATACCCTCTGCAAGGGTATAAAAAGCAGCAGCAGCAACAACAAATGCGGCCGCGGCCAAAGAGAAGGCAAAAAGACAACCGGACAGCAGCAGAAAGAACAACAACAACAACAACAGCAACAACAACGACTATCGAAGGAGCGACAAAGACTGAAAGAAATCACAGGAGTGTAGTGTGGTGGGAGCAGGAGGGGAGACGAAGGCGAAGAACTGAAAGATAAACAGAATCGCAGACAGAGACACCAATACATATTGAACGCCAAACTCCTCAAACGAGTCGTCCTGCATACATATGTACAATATTTTGGCGCAAAAACCTCCTTCCCCTGCTCCTATTCCTCCTTTCACACTCATTCTGTGGCCCTGCTCTTCACCTACTTCTTCGCTGCGCTGCGCTGAGCCGCGCTGCCCGCTGCCCGCTCTCCGCTGCACTTCGTCGACTGCAAGAAATCTCAGCGCCGCGTCCTCTGCGGCTGTGGCTGCCCTTCCCCCACTCTTCTCCAACGATTCTCACTCATTCTCACACATATACTAACCCACACACGCGCGCAGTCGAGCTCGTGTTAAGGAATTTGCGCGCGCACGTTGTTGTCCTCGTCCTCGTTCCCTCCGTTCCCTCCCGTTCACCATCTCCTGCTCCTAACTCCTGCTCGTGACACACACAAACACACACACGAGCCGTTCTCAGCAGGACTAATTCTTTTTCTTTGCTGCTCATATCCTTCGGTTGCTTGGGCTCTTGGCTGATCAGCTGATTGAACACATGTATTGAGGCAGGAGCACATAGAGGGATGGGTAAGGATGGAGAGGACGAGACGGGTCATTCCCGGCCGCTGTCCTTGTCTAACTGTTTCTCATCTGATCGATCCTTCTTTGCTCCTTGTGCCTATGTGTGTTTGCATTGGGTTTTCTGATTAGGTTTTTGTCTATTCCTTTTCCTTATGTACTCTGTGATTTCCCCTACTTTTTTCTGTTGGCGGCCTTAGGAGAACAGAATTTGTAGATCAGGGGCACAGGCAGGGGAAATTCTTCGATGACGCACTGTCGACACCTTTGACAAAAAATTTGTAATGCAAATTGTTGGGGGAGTCTGCGTCATACGCGAATATGTACATAAGTAACTTGGAATGTACAGTGGAAACCGCCATGGGTGACAACTTTTGGATATAATTGGTAGAGGGTACACTGTGGCTAACAGGATGGAAATGACGTTTAAAAGGAACCCATCTACATTGATAGTTTTACAGTACATACATACATATGTATTGGTTTCCCTCCAAGCAAGCTTTCACTGCAGTCATGCATATACATTTATATATGTACATACATATGTATGTGTGGGGCATAACTCACCTAGACATCAAATTGCTGGCTCTCCGCTTTGTACCTTCCTTCTGATTGCAATGCGCGCCTTCTTTGGCTTCCTTTGCCCCTTTTTGCCGCCCGCCACACACACACGTACACGTACACTGGGGACCGCCCGGCCAGCCCCCCTCCGACCAGATTTCAGCATTTGCGCGCGCGCGCGCGAATGTATCTCAAACGCTTGTTATACACTTATGGGCTTTTATGTGTTTGCCGATACACACGTACATATGTACATACGCATACATATGTATGCACGACCGTATGTCGCCCGACGTCAGGCGCTTAAAAAAAAAGAACCGAATCTCAAAGCTCGCTTCTTGGAATTTCGATTTACAATTTAGTTCTTCACTTTTTTCCGCTTTTTTCTGCTGCTGCTATTGTTGTGCGGCTCCATTCACATTGTTGCTGCAATTTTTGCTGTTTCTGCTTGTATGTGTATGCAGCCTATTCTCATTCTCTTTCTTTGCCCGCAATCAAATTCTCCAGCAGCATATACATATGCACATATGTATGTGTATATGAGTGTGCTTTTTTTTTTTGCATATGTACGTTTTCTCAGTTTTGCCCTTTTCCTGCTCTTCTGCTTCTTCTTCCGGAGGCTGTGGCACTGTGGTCACTGAACTATTTGAGCTGTGGCCAAAGCTAATCGGCAGAGTGGCAGAAGGAGTATCTTTTAGTGTCGGGGCTCTTTAACAGCAAATTATATACTAACACTCCTCAGCAAGTACCGCAATCGTATTTGCGAACATTCCAATATATTTCAGCCCACTGTCCCGCACTATGAATGAGTTTCGAGCTTTTTCGCTGCTTCCCTTCCCTCCCCTCGCTCACACTCACACAGTCTTTCACTCATACAACAAATGCGCTTTCTTAACTCGTTCAAAACCACTTTATGATTTCTGCGTCCTTTTTTTTCTCTGCTCGGCTGTTTTCCATAAAGATGATCCTCTGCAAAGCAACAAAAGCTCGCTCGTGAAGAGGAATTCAGAAGAATGAAACCGTAGCTCATTTGGTGGGTTTTTGGCTGACGCAACTGGCGGAAATCATTCACGCGAACATATGATGGCAAGCCCTGGGGACTGTGAATGATATCAGATGGTTTGGGATTGCCCGGACTTTGCTGTCCTTTGTTTCTGCATTCATATTTGCCTGCCATCCGTCCAGGAGGGTAGGGGGCTTTACAGCTGGAAGGGAGATCACAAGCACACACTTGCACTGGGGTATTCATGGGTGTCCCAGTCCACTGCCCATCCCCACCACCACCACCACCATATCCCTCTCCTAAACGATCTGTGCGAGATGACTCCCGCAGGGCCCTCAGCGCATATGTAACTCGATTTTTTCTTTAACTTTGCCGCAACCACTCACACACACACAAACACATGCTCCACTCCACATAAGGATGGGAGCGAGCGGTTTGCTGCTCATTTAACGACGACATTGGCGTCTACGTCTGCAAAAACACAAAAGAGACACGCCTTCCCACCGCCCCACTGCGTCGGTCATGGCATGGGGATGATCATATGATCCCACTACCTGCTGATGGCTTGAAGGGGCCCACCAGAGGAGGTGGGCATGGGGGGGATGGAATGCGTGGATCTCACATTATTACCTGCAAACGACACAATCGATGCCGACGCCGCCGCCGCTGCTGCTGCTGCTGCTGCTGCTGCTGCCGCCAACCGAAGTCTTGAATTCTGCTTAAAGATTTACTCAATTCTTTTGCTCTGCCTCCTTCGTTTGCTCTCTGCTCCTCCTGCCGCCTACCCCTCCCTACCTAAAACCTCTGCCTCTCCCTCTCGGACAATCCACAAACTACTGTGCCGCTGCAGCGTAAATCACATGTGTTTTTGCTTGTTCCCTCGCATTCGGCTCCACTCGGGCTCCAATCGGACCCCATTCGGGCTGGCTGCCGATGGGGTCTTCGCGTCCGGTATAAAAGCTAGCGCGCCAAAATCTGTGCCCTCCATAGTGCCGGCGACCACCACGCCGTCAATTGGCGCCTTCCTTCTCCTTCTTGCTGGTTCTCCTTTTCCCAACGGTTTCGTCGGTTACGTCGTGTTCTCTCGTGGAGAATGTAGGGGAAAGGAATGTGAGTGCAAAGCTACCTGTTGCACTGGAACCGCTCCAACTGCACAGATTTGTCCATTATTTCCCATTCCAACTCAGTTGCTACGCTCTTCGGTTGGGAAATGGAAAATTGTCCACTATATATCCATGTACATATGTATGTTGCACATAGATCCCGATCCTGCTCTGGCCGACGCACCGATATACTCCACACCGCTTACACTCTCTCTCTGTGAGGGCTGGGCGAGAAGAGGCAAGAGTGTACTCCGTCTCCTTCGCCGACACCGTTTCTAAGGAGGCAAACGACTCAAAAATTCTGCTGCAACAACAAAATACTAACTAAATTAGTTGGCTAGTTCTCTCTCACGCACACGCACACACACACACACTCAAACCAACTCGCCGCTCAGCTGTGCATTCTCGTTCTCTCATTCTACCCTGTTTGCCCCGATCGAGAGCGGGGGTTGGTTGCACCGGTCTTTATAAAAACCAGCTGCGCCGAAAGAATCCATACATTTTTCTCTCAACCGCCGTCGTGACCACATCTGCTCTCGAGCTCCTCTCCGTGCGGTAGTGTCGCCTGTGTGGAGAAACTATTGGATAAACATTAACACACACACAACAAAAACAACAACAACAAATGAAAAACAGTTAAACATGCTGAAACGGACACATTAAACAATCCAAAAAAAAAGTATCAACAAAATGCAATATTAGTTATAACTTACAACCACTAAAGGACTACAAAGTGCAAAAGCCGAAAAAAAAACGTAGAACTAACTGTAAATGAAGAGTGAAAAGTGACCCAATCGAAAGAAAATTGTGTTTTAGCAATTTTTTGGAAGAGAACGACCCGCTTAAAGGGAATTAAAAATAAAATTTGGATATACAACAAAATACAGCAACAAAATGCTCTGGGAAACGATTGTGGAAGAAAGCAGCAGCAACAACTGCAGCCTCAACAACATGGATTGCAATATCAGGTAATTATCCAAATATCCCAGGAATAGCAAGCAATACCCTCCCAAAAATTACAAAATAAACCCCACCAACTTTGATCGGAATTAAAAGTGCAAATTCAAGAATAGCGAGAACAAAAGGATAGGAAATCGGGACTAAAGTGCAAGTTAAAGAACGGCATAAAGCAGACAAAGTCGTGGGAGAACGAACGAACGAACGGTGTAAAAAGGAGTACAAAAACCTCTTGACAACGTCGACTGCGGCGCCACAGCGCTGCCTCTTTACAGTTGAACAAAAGTAAGAGTTTTATTGCTCTTCCCTCTGCTTCTTATTTTTTGCACGCTCCACACCGTTTACATTTTTTTTTTCGGTTCAGCTCAGCTGTGCTGTTGTTGTTCTTGATTTTATTGTTGCTTCTTTTCATTCATTAAACCGGCTTCCGCGAGGCGGTGGAGCATGCTCCAAAAGCGGAAGAGAAGCAACAACAAGAGAGTCAGGCGTCGTCAGTCAGTCACTTTTTTTTGTGTTGTTGCGGTTCTTTGTGCTGTTTTTCTTAATTCCCCGGTTTGCGTGACCCAAAGTCAGGGGCAGCGGACAGAGTGCAGAATGTGCCAGTGAATAGGAGAGGGGGAAGGGGCGAACAATTGCAGTGAAAACGAAAAGAGTTCGAGCAGAACGGTAAACGTTCACATGTGTGTGTGTGTGTGTGTTTGCGTGCCAAAGGGAATTCCGCTTAGAGTTACGCATAAGAAGAAGTAGAAACAGAAGCAAAAGGAGGAAAGAAGCCAAAAGAGTGCGACTAAATTTCTAATTCCGAATTCCAATTACGTGAGTGCGAGGGGGGAACAGCAACCCCAGCGAGCGTTTTTGTTGTTTTTACAACACTGCCACCACCGCCGCCGCCGCCCGCCTGTGGTCCTCCTGCTGCTTGTATTTTTAGCTGCCGCGCCGCCTGGGTTTAATGACCCGCTCCAGAATTTAGGGAAGAAACAGAAGACCCTCACCGCACACACTCTCTCTCTCTCTCTCCGTCTCTGTCAATGCAGCTGACTAATCATCGTTCTCTTTCTTGCGCTCTCCTTATAGCAATTCGAGCAACAAAAACAACAGCCGTCGCGCCCGCCGCTCGTTGGCCTGCAGCGAAATGATGGCCATGGACGCGGAGGAGCTGTCCTTCTACGACGATGATGTCCTGCCCCAGCAGCGCGTGGCAAGTCCCGAGCTGATGGGCCTGCTCTCGCCGGAGGGATCGCCCCAGCACTTCCAGATTGTGCGCCAGCAGAAAGCGCTGCCGGCGACAGCGGAAGAGGACAGCACAGCGGCGACGCCAGCACGCAGCTTCCGCGTCTTCAACAGCCTGTCGTCCACCTGCTCGATGGAGTCCAATATGGATGATGAGTACATGGAGCTGTTCGAGATGGAGTCGCTGGCGGGACAGCAGCCCAGCTCCCTGGGCTTCCCCAGTGGCCTCAATTCGCTGATCAGCGGCCAGATCAAGGTGGCCTCCCCGGCCCGTCCCATCAGATCGCCCGCCCTGACCATGCGCCGTCCCTCGGTCCGACGCTGCCTCAGCATGACGGAGACGAATTGCAATCAGCTGCAGCAGCTCCAACAACAACCAAAGACGCCCGAAATTCTGAAAGAGACTGCCCGGGACTGCTTCAAGCGTCCCGAACCACCCGCATCGGCCAGCTGCTCGCCCATCCAGAGCAAGCGCCACCGTTGCGTCGAGAAGGAGAACTGCCCCACACCCACCGCCACCGCACCACACAGCCACAGTAGCAGCGCCGCGACATCGACCTCCCATCCCCCACCGTTGCGCAAGTGCATGTCGCTGAATGACGCCGAGATCATGTCCGCGATGGCCCGTTCCGAGAACCGCAACGAGCCGGAGCTGATCGGTGACTTCAGCAAGTCGTACGCCCTGCCACTGATGGAGGGACGCCACCGCGATCTCAAGTCCATCTCCAGCAACACAGTGGCCCGCCTGCTGCGCGGTGAGTTCGTTGGGGAGGTGGCCAGCTATCGCATCATCGACTGCCGCTACCCGTACGAGTTTGAGGGTGGCCACATCGAGGGGGCCAAGAACCTGTACACCACCGAACAGATTCTCGAGGAGTTCCTCTCCGTCGCACAGACTGAGCTGCAGCAGCAGCAGGCGGCCGAGTCTGGCCCCAAGCGCCACATCATCATCTTCCACTGCGAGTTCTCCTCGGAGCGGGGCCCCAAGATGTCGCGCTTCCTACGCAATCTCGATCGGGAACGCAACACCAACGCCTACCCGGCGCTCCACTATCCCGAGATCTACCTGCTGCACAACGGCTACAAGGAGTTCTTCGAGACGCACATTGAGCACTGCGAGCCGCACACCTACCGCCCCATGCTGGACCCCGCCTACAACGAGGCCTACCGCCACTTCAGGGCCAAGTCAAAGTCCTGGAACGGCGATGGCCTTGGCGGTGCCACTGGGCGTCTCAAGAAGTCCCGCTCCCGTCTCATGCTGTAATGAGGGGCAGTACGGCAGCATGGGCTTTGAGTCGTTATCAATTGGGTGTTATCTGGGTATTGTATATAATTAATAGAGATGGTCGTTCATCCTGGGGGTATTTATTTCACACGCAGCATTTTAAGTTGATTTTTGTTGATTTTCATTTGTTAATCTATGGCTTAAGTTTAACCAGAACTCCCCCCGCCCCCTCTGTCACACACACACTCACACAAACACACAAAGACGAGCACGTCTCTTCTCCACTCACTCAACTTTCGATGTCACCAATCCTCAATTTTTATTTAGTTGTCTATTGTTTTTTTATGAATTCGGCTTTAGTTCAATTATTTTGTAGACCTTTAGTTCAAATTTTAACGTAAAGAGCGGCGACCAAACGACGCCCAGAAACAAGCAAAAGCTGAAACAAACAAACAAACAAAAAATGTGCATTATAAGCTAACGAAAAGAAGACGAAAGCGAGAAACTGTCATGTCATTTAAATTTAAGAGGCCGAAACAGAATTTTATACATTGTAGATGTCCTCCCCACCCCACCACCACCACCGCCCTCTCACAGACTCCTTCATCATTTTTTTAGATGATAAGCAGAAAGAAATGGCTAAAAAACACACACACAAACAAACACGTTCATCGAGTACATAGACATCCATTTTTAAATGTTTAAGTATATGATTATATAAGAGTTGAAGTTGCAAACTTTGGCTAGGTACAATTTACGCTTATTATTTGTTTAATTTTGAATATACGTAATACAAGAAAAACGATAACTGAACTGAAAATTATACCCACTGGCATTATACAATTATTTTTCTGGCGCCAAAAGCGTTTAAAGAGCGGGAAACAATATGAATGCTGATTTCTCATTTAGAATTTGGCGCGCAAAGAACTGCTTGCACAAAGCTTGGTTGCACAAAGCACTGCTTGCACAGCAGCGCCACACACAAGACTGGGACAAATGAACACCAGAGGGCGAGCTGGTGTCTATGCGGCAAAAAATGGAACTACATCGATACATTCGATAACAGTTCGAACCGATTGAACCGATTCAAATGCGGCGCGATGTTCAAATGTGTTTTGCCCGGCCCTCGTTGTGTGTTACCAGTGTGACGACGAAAAGCGGATATATGTTTTTACACATTTATTAAACATTTATAATCTCACTCGAAGCCCTTGTGGACATTTCAGGTAGGACAGCCTGGCTCCCTCGGCAAAATAGGTCATGTCTCTGTGCGATTGGCTCTTATAGATCGAAATGGCTCTGCGTCGCGAGACACCCGACAGGACGGAGATGGCTTTGATGCGATCCTCCAAGACGAAAGTGGGACACTTCCTATCGAAGATGTGATGCCTGGGATGGGGCACCTTGCTGGCCCGACAATTGAGGCACGCCTGCGTCCGATTGCACCGCTCGCCGACATTCAGATGGTACGCATAGCCGCAATTCGCACAGGTCCTGGGACGATGACACTGCCTGGCATGGTGTCCAAAATACAGGCAATTCCAGCAGCGCCTCGGATGTGGCACATACGGATGGAGGCGTATGACTTTGCAGCCCATTTGAATGCTGGACGGCGGATCTGGCTGGCCAAACTGCAGCACTATCAGGCCCGTCTCGTGCCTTTGGTTGTGCTTCTTCCTGCGCGTGATCTTGCGCACCTGGATGACATTTTGCTGCTGCAGCTGCTGGACTATCTCCGCCTCGCTGCATTGCGCCAGCTCGTAGGAGTGCATCACGGCCCTGCCATGGTTGAGATTCCAATGTTCCTGCACCTCCACATCGGTGCGGCTGTTGAGCGAGAGCAGGGACACCTGCTGCCCCAGGCTGCCCCAGGTCTTGACCAGCACCGTGCCGTTGTTCAGCTTCCGGCAGAATTCGATGGGGCCGAAGCTCATGTATTCAAAGACGCTTCGGATGAGCTCTATCGAGACATTCTGCAGGCCTTCGCTGGAGTTCAATCGGGTTACGGTGAGATACTTGGGCCACGGCACAATGCGACCTGCCATTGTGCAGCCTTCGAGTGTCCTGGCGAAACTGTAGCAGACTCTGGAACTTTATCGCATTTTACCTCCGGCTGACTGGCTGACTGGCTGACTCCCACATCAATCATACGCCACGTTGAGGCGCATTGATCTTATGACGCTCCACCTTTTGGCTGCAATTAGCTGCAATTCTCTGCGTAGGCGTTTATCCTCATTATAATTATACCCTTACAACGGTTGGATGGGTTGTCTGCCCTTTAGGAATATATAGAAAAGAAAATTTATGGCCGAGGGCAGAGCATAGAAATCCCCCAGTGGATTTCTATTGCATGGCAACTTTATAGTTTATAGTCCGATAAAACTGCTGATTCGTGATTGAATATCAAACCGAAACTGAAAGGGTATTTAAAGCACGCACGCACTCTCTTGCCCCGAGTGCACATAAGCAGATTAGTTGCTGATTTGCTTGCAGCGCATTCAAGTGCTGCTGCCACGGGTTTCAAGTGCCATTGATGTGCATAATTCCCTGCTAATAAATGGAGGGGTTCCCGAGCGAATGTGCTGCGTCGCTGCCAATTAGTCGGAGGCAAAATCCTTTCATTGAGTGTCTCGTCTCCGCATCGCTGCCCTGCCCTACGCTTTGCGGGATGCCCCACCATTTGTTTTGCCACTTTTTTTTGTCGTGTGTGTGTGGTGTGGTGTGTGTATGTGGCGGGGTCTACAGGGGTCTACGCTTCCCCGCCACGGGGGATGGGCTTAGCTCTAGGGTCGGAGTGAGGTGCTGCTTGGCATACCAAATAGAAAGAAATGGGTTAATCAGCACAATTAAGGTCAAAACCACGTCTCTGTCTCTGTCTCTGCCACTGCCACTGCCTCTGTGTTTATTTTTTGTTTTGTTTTTGTTTTGTGTGTGCGCGCGTTTTGCAGTGAGATTCAAAATTGCGCATACGCCGGGTAAGCCCTGCCATTATTTTATTGCAAGCCACCCGCTGCGACACGCTGTGTGGGTCAAACCTATACCAATACATCACATATATATGTATGTATGTGTGAATGATAAAGATTCTCGAAAAGCTTCCACTGCGCAACCTCTAAGCCGTCCACGTTTCAAGTCTCTCACTCTCTCGCTGTCTCTCTCTTTCAATTTTCTCTGTAAATTTGTATCTGTATTTCTCGTTCTGTATCTGTGTGCGCGTGTGTGTGTGCTGCTGTAATTGTGTGCGCAACCCTCGCCTGGCTATAAGACAAAAGCGCTGCGCTCAGAAAACTTTAGATACGCGTCGACCGTCGAACAGGTCGCATTCGCATTCGCATTCGCCCGCCCCGTATTCTATTGCTGTTGCTGTTGCTGCTGCTGTTGCTGCTGCTCCTAGTCGCTGTCCGTATCCTCGTGTGTGTGTGTGGCAGCTCTGCTAACGGTTTGTTGCGTCCACAACATTTTATGTGTCAAGCCTTTTTTCAAGTGCAACCAACTACAAAACAAAGCCAACCATTCAATTCAAGAGCAACTCATGAAACACGTACCACCCCACCGCCGCCGGTACAGCAACAATTGAAATTGTGTGTCGGTCTTCAACCAAACAAAAAAAAACAACAAAGTGATAAAAGTGTGTTAAGAGACCAGACCGCATTCAAGAACTGCAAATAGCCAGAACAAGTTATATTTTTGTGTGTGCTGTGTGTGTCTGTGTGTCAGATACTTGAACTTTTTTTGTTTTTTGGTAAAAATTTGCAGTACCTCGTTGTACCAGAAACTGATTGAGCACTTGGCGGATAATTCAATATGCTCCGTAAACAATGAGATATGACCGGTGCCGCACACTGGGGACTGGGGAATTGTGTAAATATTATAACTAGGAAAAGCCGGAGAGGAAATCAAGTAACGCCCCACCACCAGCAATAAACACAATAGAACAACAATCTATATGCAATACTTTTTAAGGGCGTGCAAATCAATTAGCGTAGAAATCTGTAGAGTCTGTGGTACACACACACATACTTGGGGGGGGGAAAATACTTCCCCCATTGGCCCGGTGATGGGTTCAATTGATAAGTCAATGCCAGACCAACCATCCAATGCCGCAGCACGTGCTTGACATTTATTGCTCCCTGCAACCGTTCCAAAATCGTACGCCATAGCATGAATTTTTTGTTGATGAAGTGTACAAATCATTTGGTCACAGCTGCTGCCAATTAGTTATAGTTAGCCAAATGTTACTTCCATCACATTACCTTTTAGCAGCCACTTGAGGCCAATAAGTGTTGACTAATAGTTTTTGAAAAGCATCAAGCTAATGACAAATCTCGCCAGCAGGTTCTAAGTCTACTCCAAAATTTCTTAGATGGCACTGCTCTAATTCGTTTGATTGCACAGCAAGAGAACAGCAAATAATTTCTATTTCTATAGTAATTCGATTCCACTTTTTTCTCGCATTAAAGACATTTAAGGACCCCCAAATAAAATTCTCTGGGTTGCTAAATGATTTTTAAATTTATTTATAAAACATAGAAAATGATTTCAGTACGAAATCAATTACCTGAGAGGATTTGTAATTGTATATTGTAGAATTCATTAGCATTATTTAAGCTTCAAGTAGCTTTTGTAACTTTTGTCTTTTGTCTTCTTACCTTTTGGTGTGGCTTGTTCTGATTTATGCAGCTTATCCCCACATAATCTGGCCAAAGGCTTGGCCAACTCCATTTGCCATCGGCTACCATATGATATTTATATGCTAATCATTCAGGTTCATTGACCCGCATCCGCACCCCCATTTACAAACATATATAATACATACATATGTATATGTATGCACTCAAAGAACTTGAAAAGCAGAAGTCAAAAAAAAAAAAAGAAAAGAAAAGAAAAAGAACAACTTTTGCATAATTAAGAGCGACAGAGAGCTGAGTGGAATAAACCGAACCGGCAGGGAGTTGCAATCTGGTTAATCCAGTCTAGAAAATGTATGCAGCTCTGTCTCCTTCTTCTCTGCTTTCTGGGGGCTCTACAGGAAAAGAATCTTGATCTGAAGAGTTGCAGATGAACTTACAGCAAGAGCTGGGGCTGCAGCTGGATGGGCTTCAAAATTACACTGACAGGCGCGAAAAGTGCAGTTTACGGGCTGACAGAAACACACATACAAAACCATAAAAATAAGATATATCTTTTATGAGTAAATATTTCTTCAGATTTCTACATTAAGTATTTATTTCTGATTTTATTTTAAATGTGTTAAATTATGTGGAAAAATAGCATTGGCCTATCTCTGGGGCTGTTTTCTTTAGCTAAGAATATGTATAGAATATATTATAAATATATATAATATAGAATAGAATATGTACATATGTATATAGAACAAACAAAAAATGGCGTATATTATAAGATGGTAAATCAATCTTAAAGCTGACAAGAAGGCGTATTAAAGCTTGAATTTTAGGTGTTGAAAGTTTTTCTGATTTGCCAACTCCTTTTAGCCGTTGAAATCAATTATTTTTATGGGTATATCCAATTGGATATGGCTATCCAATTTTTCATTTATGCAAATATGTAATTAGTAAAGTGTGGAGTAAATTTTAGCCGAAAGAAACGAAAAAAAACCTCATTAAAACACTTTTAGATGTTAAATTAAAAAATTATAGAAATCATAAAATGAGACATGACCTTCGATAGCGCATGCTTATAATCGAAATTAGCAGGCTATATTTATGTATATCGATTGATCGAACATTTAGCCATAAAACTAAGTAGTGCCGCCCGCCGGCAAGGGCATGGCATACATGTGCAGGGTAGATACGTGTTTAAGTACTCGTTGACTCCACAGAGCATAATGCATCGAGTTTTATTGGCCCAGACCTTAATACGTGTCCGGCATAATGAGCTGAGCTGAGCACCGCAACGCAGCTCTCAACAATCGTAAATGAAAACAAATTAAACAAAATGCGATTTGCATTAAATCGAAATAAAGCAATAAACAAACACAGTAAATTACGATTATGAAAACAGCAAAACAAAAACAGCAAACAGAAAAGAAAACGGAGAGCACAAAACAGTAACAAGTAACAAGTGATTACGCTCCGCTCCGCTCCGTTCGCTTTGATTTATTTAATGAATTTCCAAAGTGATTTAGTTAATTGCTTTGCGAGTACTCGCCACAACACTCCACCCCATCCCACAGCAGCCCCCTGACGCGTTCTCTCCTCTGCTCTGCTCCATCTCCTTTCACAGAGTTCACAGGCCATGAAGTGGTTTTTGCTGTTCATGGTGGCCCTTGGACTGGGCCTGGCCGCGGCCAGCATCAGCTCCAGCTATCACTACTACCGCCTGCCAACGGCCGTGCGGCCCCAAAAGTACCAACTGAAGATCCTGACCCATCTGGATGATCCGGCGGAGCTGCGTTTCGCTGGCACCGTCAAGATACTGGTCGAGGCGCTGCAGAACACCAAGAACATAACGCTGCACTCGAAGAATCTGACCATAGACGAGAGCCAGATCACGCTGCGACAGATTAGTGGCGGCGGCGCCGACAAGACGGACAATTGTGTGTCCTCGACGGAGGTGAACTACGGCCAGGACTTTTATGTGCTGAACACGTGCCAGGAGCTGCTGGCCGGCAATGTCTACGAGCTCACGTTGCCCTTTGCCGCCGAACTGAACAAACAGCTGGAGGGTTACTATCGCAGCTCCTACAAGGATGCCAATACCAATGAGACAAGGTGAGAAGCAGGCAATCAGGGAAACTATCTACCCATATGCAAGCTGATGGCTGTCTCTTTGTCAGATGGCTGTCGATCACCCAATTCGAAGCGGCCTCCGCTCGTCAGGCGTTCCCCTGCTTCGATGAGCCCGGCCTAAAGGCGACCTTTGTGGTCACCCTGGGTTTCAACAAGAAGTACACCGGTCTCAGCAATATGCCAGTGAAGGAAACCAAGCCACAGTAAGCATCGAACGTAATTCGAATCGCTGCAAATATTATTTAATATTTTTTTTGTACAGCGAAACGCTTGCCGATTACATTTGGGTGGAGTTCGATGAATCGGTGCCCATGTCCACCTATCTGGTGGCCTATTCCGTCAATGATTTTGCGCACAAACCGTCCACGCTGGCGAACAGCCCACTGTTCCGCACCTGGGCTCGCCCGAATGCCATCGATCAGTGCGACTATGCGGCCGAGTTCGGGCCGAAGGTGCTGCAGTACTACGAACAGTTCTTTGGCATCAAGTTCCCGCTGCCCAAGATCGATCAGATAGCCATACCCGACTTCAGTGCGGGCGCCATGGAGAACTGGGGCCTGGTCACCTACAGGGAGATCGCGCTGCTCTACTCGGCGGAGTACACCTCGCTGGCGGACAAGCAGCGGCTGGCCAATGTGGTGGCCCACGAGCTGGCCCATCAGTGGTTCGGCAATCTGGTGACAATGAAGTGGTGGACGGATCTCTGGCTGAACGAGGGCTTTGCCACGTACATCGCCAGTCTGGGCGTCGAGAATATCTATCCGGAGTGGCGTTCGCTGGAGCAGGATGCGCTCTCCAATCTGCTGGCCATCTTCCGCAAGGATGCCCTCGAGAGCAGTCACCCGATCTCGCGACCCATCGAAATGGTATCGGAGATAGCCGAGAGCTTCGATCAGATCTCGTATCAGAAGGGTTCGTCGGTGCTGCGCATGATGCACATGTTCCTCGGCGAGGAGTCCTTCCGTGCGGGTCTGCAGTCCTACCTGCAGATGTACTCCTACAAGAACGCCGAGCAGGACAATCTGTGGGAGTCGCTGACCCAGGCGGCCCACAAATACCGTGCCCTGCCCAAGAGCTACGACATCAAGAGCATCATGGACTCGTGGACACTTCAAACGGGGTAACACGAGCCACAAAATCGAAACCCAAACCCAAACCTAAACCTAAAACCTCTTCGATCTTGCAGCTATCCCGTGATCAATGTCACGCGCGATTATACGGCGAAGAGTGCCAAGCTCACCCAGGAGCGTTATCTGCTCAACACTCAGATCTCGCGCGCCCAACGCGGCGGCTGCTGGTGGGTGCCGCTCAGCTACACGACCCAGGGGCAGCAGGACTTCAACAATACGGCGCCCAAGGCCTGGATGGAGTGCGGCAAGACGGGCGAGAGTCTGCCCAAGACCATACAGGCTCTGCCCGGTGCCGACCAGTGGGTGATCTTCAACACGCAGCTGTCGACGCTCTATAAGGTCAACTACGATGCGCACAACTGGAAGCTGCTGATCGAGACCCTTACCGGGGGCGATTTCGAGCGGATTCATGTGATCAATCGGGCGCAGCTGATCGACGATGCCCTGTACCTGGCCTGGACCGGCGAGCAGGACTACGAGATTGCCATGCGCTTGATCGAGTATCTGCAGCGGGAGCGCGAGTATCTGCCCTGGAAGTCTGCACTCGAGAATCTGCGGCGTGTCAGTCGCATTGTGCGACAGACGCCAGAGTTTGAGTTTTTCAAGGTAAGTTGGCCCCCCCCCTGCACCCTAACTAAGCGTTGCATATCCTGCACGTGGCATAACCTTTGGCTCTCATTCTCATTTGTATTTCGAAACTAAAAACAAAAAACCCAAAAAATTGCAACCCAACCAAAAACCAAAATCCATTCAACAAAAACTTCAAACGTAAAGCTATTTTTTGACGTAAGTCTGGAGCAAGTAAGACTGTGCAATAAAATACCCGGTAATCGCAGAAATTATACTTGAATCAAAGCTAAAGATTGCCAGAGTACAAACAAAACGAGAAGGAACGTGTGAGTTGCTTCTGGGGACGCGACTCTACTTATACATTTTTGAGCTTATAATTTTTGAGAATTTTAAAATAAACCCCTCAACTCTTTTTTGAGTACGGGTATAAAAAGGCTGCTAGTAAATTATAATTTCTACGAGTTTATTCTCTTACTTAACGAATACCGGGTATTTAGGTGTTTACCTAGAGATCATATAAATCTTAAATAATAACCATTAACCCGCCATATATATACCCCACTTCCACCCAACCGCAGCGCTATATGAAGAAGCTGGTTACGCCCATTTATCTGCACTTGGGCGGCCTCAACGACACCTTCAGTGGCATACAGCAGCAGGATCAGATATTGCTCAAGACCATGGTCGCCAATTGGGCGTGCCAGTATCAGGTGGCCGACTGTGTGGCCCAGGCGCTGCAGTACTATGGCAACTGGCGATCGGAGCCCGAGCCCGATCAGAAGAACCCGGTGCCCATCAATCTGCGGGGCACCGTCTACTGCACCGCCATTCGGCATGGCAGCGATGCGGACTGGGAGTTCCTGTGGGCCCGCTACAAGAACTCGAATGTGGCTGCCGAGAAGCGGACCATACTGACGGCGCTCGGCTGCTCGCGGGAGGTGTGGGTGCTGCAGCGGTTCCTGGAACTGACCTTCGCGCCCAACGAGGCCATACGCAAACAGGACTCAATGTGGGCCTTCCAGGCGATCGCCTTCAACGAGGTGGGCTTCCTGCTGGCCAAGAAGTACTTCATGGACAATGTCAGCTTCCTGCACAAGTTGTAAGTGTCGCCAGAACAATGCCTGGAGGGCTGGGCCTTATTTTTTGTTTGTTTATTTTTTCCGTAGCTACTATCCGCTAACTAAGGATATGGGCCGCCTGTTGACGCCCCTCTCGGAGCAGGTCATCAGCCAGAGCGACTTCAATGAGTTCAGGCACTTTGTGCTGATGTCACGCGACTCGCTCAAGGGCGTGGAGCAGGCCATTCAGCAGACCCTCGAGACGATGCTCACCAATGTGCAGTGGAAGGAGCGCAACTACCACCAAATGTCGCGCTCCATACAGAAGCTGCTCTAAGCCCCCAGACCCATCCCAGCTCTCATCAGCTCATTGACGAAGGAATCTCTTCAGTTAAGCAGGAATACGATATATATTTAGAAAGTCCTCTAATAAACTATTTAATACTATAATACAAGTATTATCCCCGCGTATATGCACAATGAAGATTTTCCATTTTCCTATTTTTGTGTAGGGTATGTGTCTAGAGCTGCCAGAGGTCTGCTTATATGACTGACTGCGCGGCCTGCTCGTTAAATTTTCTATAATTAAAAGCTGTTTTGGGCTTCTAGAAATGGGCATATAAAAGGCGCGTTTGGGCCCTGGCTTGGGTTTAGTTTATTTGTAGCAAGTGACAGTGCCAGTGAAGAAAAGTGAAATTAAAACTTAAAAGGGTTACAGGAATACTCCTGGGAATTAATTGCAGGTGCAACTGTGCCAGGACCAGGACAAAGACTTGCAAGCTAAGGAATCTACCGAATGTAGAGCATGGAAGTGGATATTGTGACCTAAATTGTGATTCGTTTAGGGAAATACAAAAAGAGATTCTTGCTCGAAGGATTTAAATCTTAAAGAATTCTTAATTCCTTTGCCTAATTTTTGCTGAGATTTTAAATGGATTAATTGATCCTACGAATTATTATTTCTTGCACAAGAAAAACCTCTCGCATCTGCCAGTCATGCCTGGCCTTTGGTACTCTCTGATTTGTGGCGGATTATTCTGTTTGAGTCTGTGCCGAGCCGAATACAACTATCCGCGACTGCCGAAAACGCTGAAACCCCTGAGCTACAATCTGAAGATTGTCAGCCATCTGCATGGAGCCAAAAGGTTCACCTTCGAGGGGGAAGTGCACATTCAAATGGTCACCCGCCACGAAACGGATAATATAACCCTGCATGTGGGCAATATCACGATCCATGAGTCAAAAATAAAACTAATTGCGTTGGACGGCAAGGATACAGCCTTCGAGCTGGATGGAACTGGCGAAGTGCCGGAGCGGCAGTACTATATGTTATTTCTGACTGCGAACCTGGTGCCCGATGTGGTCTACGAGCTGCGAATGGCCTTCTCCGGCGATATAATTGAGGGCGGCGATGCCTACTACTGGAATAAGTACCAGGACAGCGACAACGATACCAGGTACGACAGGCCAAAGCCCTTTGGGTGGCATGGTATGTGACACCCATTGAAATGTTCTTGCAGATATCTGACGGCCACTCAGTTCCAGCCGACACTGGCGCGGGATGTGTTCCCCTGTTTCGATGAGCCCAATCTAAAGGCGAATTTTACCATCTCGCTGGGCCACGACCAAGTCTATCACGCGCTCAGCAATATGCCCGTTAAGCGCATCATTCCACAGTAAGTCGAGCGGCGAAACTCTGCCTCTGTCCGGATATTACGAGTATTTTCCCCCTACAGCGGCGAGCTGCACAAATACGTTTGGACGGAGTTTGAGGAGTCCGTGCCCATGCCCACCTATCTGGTGGCCTTCTCCGTGAACGACTTTGAGCACACAACGACCGTCAAGTCGGACAGCGGCTTGGAGTTTCGTTCGTGGGCACGTCACGGCGCCAACTCCACGCCGCTGGCTGCCATGATCCATGGCAATGTGGTTGGCTTCAAGGTGCTGCAGATCCTCGAGAAATTATTTGGCATCAACTACGCACTGCCGAAAATGGACCAGATGGCCGTGCCCAACTACACGGGCGCTATGGAGCACTGGGGCCTGGTCACCTACCAGGAATCGCGGATCTTCAGCACAGCCGAGACGACGGCCTCCGAGCGGCATGCAATCGCCGAGATGGTGGCCCATGAGATGGCCCATCAGTGGTTTGGCAATCTGGTGACGGCCAAATGGTGGTCGGATGTGTGGCTCAACGAGGGCTTTGCCTCGTACATCGGCTGCTATGCCCTGCAGGATCTAATGCCGAATCACGATCCGTGCGAGCACACGATCGTCACGAGTCTGAGCAAAATTTTCATAGCGGATGCGTACAACAGTTCGAAGAGTTTCGCGCGATCCGTCATGGATGGCGAGGAGGTCAGCGCCACCTTCGATGAGTTCTCCTACGGCAAGGGGGGCATTGTCCTGCGCATGCTGCACCACTTCCTGGGCACCAATACGTTCAAGGCGGGCATGCGCGACTATTTGAGTCGCTTTGCCTACGGCAATGCGGGCAGGAAGGACCTTTGGGAGTCCTTCACCGAGGCAGCGGAGGAAAATAAAACACTGCCGGGCAACTTCAGTGTGGCCAGCATTATGAGCACGTGGACCAAGCAGCCGGGCTATCCGCTGATAAATGTCAGCCGGAACTACGACGATGGCACGGCGAATATCACGCAGCAGCGCTTCCTGCAGGACCAGCAGCTGGATGCGCGCAAGAGCTGCTGGTGGATCCCGCTCTCCTTCACAACGTCCACGCTTTTGGATTTCATGGACACCATGCCACGCCACTGGTTCCAATGTGACGGGGATACAGATGCCGCTGAATTGATTGTTCCACTGAATGTCGACACCGCGCAGTGGGTCATTTTCAATCTGCGCATGTCCGGGCTGTACAAAGTCAACTACGACCGGCGCAACTGGGAGCTGATCATTGACACCTTGAACAGCGAACACTACAGCAAAATTCACGCACTGAACCGCGCACAGCTGGTGGCCGATTCCCTCAGTCTGGCCTGGGGCGGATACATCGGCTACGATGTGGCCCTGCCGCTGGTCAAGTATCTGCGGCGAGAGCTGGAGTCTGCGCCCTGGCTGATGGCCCTGTCCAATCTGCACAAGCTGACACTCATCATGCGGCGCACAGCCCACTATCCCAGCTTCAGGGTGGGCAACTCGTTGAGGTTCCATGCCCACTGAATCATTCATTGGTTTGTTTGTCGCCAACAGGGCCTTGCACAGCTGATAACGACGCCCATCTACAAGCATCTGGGCGGACTGAAGGTCAAGAAGGGCCTGAGCCTAAAGCAGCAAATCCTGAAGACCCAACTCGTTTCGTGGGCCTGCGCCAATCGGGTGGACCGCTGCATAAAGGAGGCCAAAGATATGTTTTTCAGCTGGCGGTCAGCGAGTGATCCGGACAGACACAATCCCATACCGGTGGACGTGCGCGCCACCGTCTACTGTACGGCCATTGCCGAGGGCGATGAAATCAATTGGTACTTCCTGTGGCGGCGCTACAGCAACCCCACCGATCTGCACGCGCGTGGCATGCTGCTGAGCGCCTTGGCCTGCACGCAGCGGCCGTGGGTGGTGCTGAAGCTGCTGGATTTCATTATGCGACCGAAGGGCACAATGCCCGATGAGGATGTGAGTGCTGCGGTGGAGGCGCTGACCAATCAGGATGTTGGCTTTCACATAGCCAGGGCGTATCTGATCGAACGCTTCGCAGGCACCTTACCGTGAGTAAATCAATGAAAGAAAATCCATCAAAAATATTTGCTAAGCTTGGACTCGCCACAGGAAAAGCCCCAAGACAATTGTGAGTTTTACCCATCTGCTGATTGCCTTGACACGAAGGATTCACACGCTGACCGATGCGCGTTACTTTGCCAGCATCATTCACAATCACATACCAGACATCCAGTCGGAGGAACTGCTGTATAAGCTACGCCAGGCCGTAGGCACAATGGTGGGCAACGTTAAATGGCGTTCAAGGCATGCCAAGACGACGGCCAGAGCCCTCCGGAAGGTGATGAAGATCAAGGATCGAGAGGAGGTGGTAAGAGTGAAGGAGTATGCGGGTTAGTGGTATATGCAGATGCGAGTTACTACTTTATGTAGATGTTGTTTGTATATTTCGTATATTTAGTTAAGCTAGAACATGCTAAATCCGTAATGAACATAAATAGAATTGGAATTCCACTCCTTCATAATCATACATACATACATATCTCCTGTGTGTGTGTGTGTGTGTGTGTCGGTTAATCCTTCCAGTTTGTCAATGTAAATGTTACATATTACAATGTACATAATTATTTGCTTTGTAAATGTTAATATCACTATAGCAGCGCTCTTGAAAACAACAAAACAAAAAAAATAAGGAAAAAACTAAACGGAACGAAACTAAACTTAACTAGCGAGTGACTAGACAGTTAGAAATAGTAGCAAATGTAGAAACTATATCTAAATGCTAAACATATTGCATAAGTAGTGTGTGTGTGTGTGGTGTGAGTGTGCTATTATTATTTCGTATTTGTTATAATAATTATTAAAAACTATTTATCAATGTGTGTGTTTTTTGTTGTTTTTGTTTTATGTGATGAAGTTCTTTTGTGTGAAAACATTTTTTTATAAACTATCCACTCAAATTTGTATAACAATTGTCAGTTGTTCCATCTTGATGCTGTGTTGCTGTTCTCTCAGATCTGATCTGTTTTATATTTTTATTTTAATTGAAATCAATTATATTATATTATATTCCACCTGCTTGCTGTGTGTTCCTATGGATAGTCATGCGTTTAACAACTATTCAACACTTCGTATATGAATTCGTGAACATACATATGTATATCCACTTAAATATATGTATATGTATATGTGTAGCTCATTGTTTACAATAAACCATTCCATTCCATTACATTTACTATAGATATATGTATACTTGATGCTGTAATTATTACAGATTGATTTGATGCTTGCTACTGCTCTTTCTGTCCGCCTGCCACTGGTTTTCGTTTCGTTTTTGTTCTATGAGAATAACGGACATTACTCCATATTACATATGTACGTATATTATTTATATTATTATTATTATTATTATTATTATTACAACATTCGCTTTTAAAGACGCTATTTGAATCAAGGTTTTTTTTTTGTTTCTTTCTTTTGTGTATTAAATGTATTATTACGAACTTAATTTATGCACGAGGAGTATAATCGAAAATTTTGTGTGTTGCTTCAGTTACATTCAGTGGGGGAGGGGGAGCAAAACAATTCTAGGCCGTGCCGTGTTTATTCTCGGCGTTTAAATTCGTGTTCCGTTAACGCAGCATTTTGTTCTTAACCGAGAATGCCAAATAAAAATGCAAATGTTATGGGCAAACAGAAACTAAGAAATTATAGCATAACCGATAGCCCCACTCACTCGATTCCGTTCCAGTCGACAGAGGTGTGTGTGTGGAAACAGACAACTTGTATGGGCATCAAAGAAGGAGTAGGATTGAAGGGGTAGGCATCAGTCAAACCGCTGGTTAGTTATGTTAATGATAGTTATGCATGTAGATAAACGATAGATCTTCTTAGTACGATTATATTGTTTAACAAACAGACTTCTTCTTTTTCTTATTATATTATTCTAAAGACATCCACCTCTCCAATCCGACCCAATCCGATTCGAACCTATCAGTATGCCAATACATATCGCACATGCTTGGCTTGTAGATTAATGCTGCTGCTTCTGCTTCCACTGCTTCCTCGCACACCCTCAAATCTTATGCGCCCCACCTCCACCGCTGCCGGAGAATGCCTCATTCGACCAGGAGCTTTGCGATGATGCAGATGGCGGTGGCGGCGTTGAGGATGTTGTGCCCGCTGTCTTCGATGCCGGCTGCAGATCGAATCGTGCATAGAATAGCAAGTATGGAGTTATGGTTATCTTCCGTGATGGGGACAACAGCTCCTCGAACTCGCGCTGTGTCATCGCCTTGATCTTGTCGTCGTCGCACATGTACCAAATCGGTTCCGTGCCGCCGTGCGCATAGTTGGCCTTAACACCGCCACGGCCCGTGCTGCCATAGCCCGTGGGATAATTTGGCAACACATTGCTGCTGCTGTTGTTACCGCTGCCGCTGCCGCCTGCTGCGCCACTGCCACTGCCATGGCTGAGATTGCTGTTGCTGCCGTTCTGCAGCGACTCCTCGCTGAAGTCACTACAGCTGGCCGAGTTGCTGCTGCCGGCGGCGCCACTTGGCTGCTGGCTGCAGCAGAGGCGCATGGCACAGCAGCTCACGCCATGGCAGGTGGTGTTCATGCTCAGTTTGCCAATGCCATTGGTGATGTTCTTGCTGCTGATGCCATTCAGTTGCTTTACATTTTTGCTCATGTCGCCGCTGCTGGAGGCCTTGCTGCGTCCAAATTTCATCTTTTTTATCAGACTAGTGCCCGAGGAGGCCAGGACCGAGGCAGCCGCGGCCACAGGTGTGCTGGCCACGTGGCTGCTGCTGCTTCCATTGTTTGGTGCCGCATTCTCATTGGAGGAGGCTGCCGCAGCAGCAGCCGCTGCCGCCGCCTGCTGTGTCTGCGATCCGGACATGGTGTTCCGTCGATCCTTTGGGCAGTTTATATAGTCACTGGGCAGATCCAGGAAGCACGTGTAGGCAATGTAATGGCCCACACTGAGAGTGGCGCCCACATGGGTTATCACACTGTACAGCTTGTACACATGCAGCTTGTTGCCGTCGCTCAGCTCGCAGCACTTGGCGCAGAAGCAGGGCAGGGTGAAGGTCGTGGGCACATACGTGCTCACCTTCTGCATGCCGCCCGAGAAGCGATTCAGCTGAATGACCAGCAGACGAGGCAGCACCTCGTACGATATTGAGCGTATGGCCTCGGTGTAGCCGGTGCATTGACTGCAACTGTACTTGTTCTCACCCTGAAAGTATTCCTTGGTGATGCACGAATTCTGAAAGAAGTACAAACAATTAAATTCACTTCAATGGATGCTGCGTTGTTCGCTCACCTGAATGTAGGTGCTGGGCTTGTCCTGCAGGTCGGCATTGTCGCAGCCTGTTATCGGCACGGAGATGTCGAGCATGCCCTGCTTTTGCTTTGTGACCGTCTCACAGCTGAGACACTTGGTGGTCAGCACCACAATGCCCTCAAAGTCGGCATTGAAGAAATTTAGATTCAGATCCCGTATACGGTCCTCCAATCGCATGCTATCCTTTAGCGCACTGGCCGGGTTCATTTCATCGTCACTGGAGTACTTGCCGGTCGATGCCGGCTGCGAAACGGTCGGTGTTGCTGCTGCTGTGGCAGCCACGCTGCTGGCGCCGCTGAGATCAACTGTATTCAAATAGAAGAGACTGTTTGCAGTGGAATGCGCCGGTGCCGCGGTGAGGCCACCCGCCGTCGGACTATTGTCCTTCAGCGGTGACTGTATCCGCGTTGATTTCGATGACTTGACCTCATCTTTTCTCTTCGATTTGCGTGAGAAGAACGATGTTTTTGTCGTGGTTATTTGACTAGTGGCCAGCGTGTTGCCGTTGCCGGAGCTTGCCAGTGCCATCGCCGTATCTGTACGCTCCTGGGCGGCCTCCCCAGAGTCCAACTCATCGGGATTGGCTATGTAACTGAAGTCATAATGAATTGGATAAGTACAACCAAGACTTTTTTTAAGATTTGGGCGAGAAATCGAAGCACTTACCCATTTACAATGACCTGGGGACATTCGTTAATGGACTTGATCAGCGATTGGTTCGTTTCGCGTATGCAATTGAGAACGCACATGAGAAACTCGTGGGCATCCTGCTGCTGGTTGCCCTGAAATGTGGTATTCACATCCTGTATGGCATGCAGCAGTGTGTCCGCATGGTAGGGCTCCGTCGAGTCGGCCATCTCATTGCCATGCAGGCTGTGGTACAGCTCATGCAGTTTCTCTGTGACCGACTGAGAGCTCGCCTTGATCAGGCTGCTTGTGGTGGTGCTGCCGCTACTGACAACAGCGCTGCTGCCATTGGTGGTGCTGTTGAACGGCTCCGTGGTGGCCAGATCCTTGCTGCTCCAACTGCGTGCATGCTCCAGCTGCGCGCCACTCACGTTTCGGCCCAGCGAGGCCGATTTGGCCGTCTGCTGGCGCAGTATAGTCTGCTGCACCACATTCAAATCGTGGATCAGATGGTGCAGGTTGTGCAGAAAGAGTGGGGCAAAGCGCAGCGTGTACACCACCGAGTTCAAGTAGCATGTGTTGCCAATGTTGCAGAGGGTGCCCATTGAAGGGGCATGGTTGAGGGCGGCGCCACTGCCATTTAGGCCCGTACCGGCGCCCGTTGGATTGCTGCCCCCCGACGATCCATAATACTGATGGACCTGCAACTCCTGCGGCTCAATATCACTCGATGTGGCCGAACTGCCTGTGCGCAGTCCAGTGCCGCCATAACCGTTCGGCACGCGCCGCTCTTCGGAGGTGCTCTGATATCGACGGTCGTACAACGACATGGCGGAGTTCCTCTTACGGGTGGCACGTGATGATGGCTTCCCAGTCGAATCGAGCTCAAGCTGTGCCGCCGCAATAGCGGCCGCTGTTTCCGGCGAGTAGTTTTCACCGAGTTCGTTCAGTAGCTTGCTGCGTCGCGTGCGGCTACGTCCACCGGCAACGCGTCTCCTCTTGTCAACGAATTTAACTTCCTCTTCTTCTATCAAATTCCAGAACGCCGGATTAAATTGCTCTGCAAAAGGTAGGTAGAACTCTATTTAGATACAAAAACCGATTAGGGATTGTGTTAAAGTCCAACCCACCTGATTTAATGTACTCTGTGGATTCTGTGGGTGTCGGTGAGGAGGCGACCTGCGCTGGCGGTGGTGTTGTCGGCACCTGCTTCAATCCTGCCTCGGATGTGTCTTTGGACTCTTGCCTGGATCGTAGGCTGGAGCAGCGGGACGTGTCCGCGGTATAAACACGACGCTGACGCTTTCGTCTGGGAGTTTGCAGCAATAGCTCGTCCCTATCCGGATCCACTACTGACGACGACGAAGGTTCATCTACCGCTTGATCGACGACTTTATCAGCAGCTTCGGATATAGCAGGGTATAAGCCTATCAGGGATAACGTGGAGAGCCTTTCTGGCCTGGTTGTATCACCAGTTTCTGTATCAGCTGTCGTGGAAGAATCAATCACTTGTTCTGTTATTTGCGTATCCTCGGTATCCTCCTGTGGCTGCTGCTGCTGCTGATCCGTTACCGTTACCGTGACCGCCTCACTGGGAATTTGAAGTTCGTTGCTGTCGATGCAGCCTGTGTTTTTGTTGTTTGTGTCGTTGCTTGTAGGTGGAAGACTGGCTGGTTCCTCTTGACGCTCGTTTAAATCATTTTCTTGCATTTTTTCATCCTACTGCAAAAGGACCAATAAATTGAATTAGTAACAGACATCTCAAGGCCGGTAGGTAGGAGGTAAAGGGAATGTGAACCATGCGGCATGAGCAATGTTATGTGAATGCCACAGGTACAAACGTTTCTCGAGTGTTTGTCACCGACGGTTAGCACACAGTTTTTGCTATTTGCCTGATAAGTTCTCTATTGTATACGATAAGAAACTGTTTGATAATCAATCATTAATCTACGCCTACTGGCCACGATGGGGCGAGCAGTGATTCATAGTCAATACGTTCAGACAATGGGGATTGACAGGCGAGGAGGAGCTACTGGGTCCCATTAAGAACTTTCCCTTATACACATCCTCAAATTGGATCCCCACTCTGATATTGTAGGCTTCAAAAGCTCAAGCAGAAGCATTTATTAATTTTTGTTGGCTAAAAGGCCTTGAGCTTTGGTCAGCTGTTGTTGGAACGCCTCATCCGATCACATGCGATATCAATTAATGTCATAATCCCCACCCGCTCATTATGGCAGTAAGTCTATTGATTGCCCCATAAGTGTATATATGTATACCTATATATACAATATATCTGTATGCTAGCTACCATGAACTTGGCAAATAAATAATGTAAAAGACCAAAACTCAGGGAGGTGGCAAACAGTTTAACCGGCGCGATGGGATGGGCGGGCGTGCGCTTGCTTGCTTTATGCTTTGGTGGGGTAGGCTCCCCGGCTCTAGTCTCTGTCTCGGGCTCAGGGTCTAGTGAATGCAACGTGAACGTAAACGATATTACTATTGATTTTGTAGCTGCTGGAATGAAGGTCACACGTCCAAAAAAAAAAGAGAGAACACGGCAAACCAAAATCTGTATGCGGAACCACGAAAAGCTCTGCCTCCCCAACACACATGCATAAAAAACGACAGCCCCACAAATCGAAGCAACAACAACAGTTGGGAAAGTAAACAGTTATAATTATGTAGATAATTTATGCACGGCATGCTTCAAGGACTTGATTAATTATTCCGATTGTATTTTTTCACTGCTTTTCCTTTTCGTGAAACTCACATTATTTAAGGAGCAACATTTGAAGGCAATTGGCGCTTTACCGCGCTGCTGCGGGTCTAGTAAAATTAATTAAAACGCCGCTGAGCAAATGCGAAATTTTAAATAAATTTTGTGTTTGCAACGTAAGACACGCACACACACACACACACACACTTACACACACACGTCAACACGGCTTGTACTCGCTGATTTTTCTTCTTCTTCTTCTGCTCAACACCACTTTTCACTTTTTTTCACTATAGCAAATTTGGCTCGTTTCGGACTATTTCGAGCAGAGCATTTTAGTTTTTCCAGGTGTCGGTCGAGTCGATATTACATCGCCGCAAAGTTGCACTTTCAGGTGTTTTACAAATTGAATGAAATTGTTTTTTATATTCGTTTCGTGTAAAATTATGCGCCGTAGCGGACGACTAGGGATGTGAAATGACTTCGATGATCGGACAGCTATCGATGGCCCGCCGTTCACTTACCTTACCTTACATCTGTTTCGAAAGTTATTTAAATACAAAATTACTCTACTACTTTCCACGCACTTACTAGATAAATTACTTGATAATTAATAGCCTGTGTACACCAGCGTTGAGCTATTGAATTCATTTAAACAAATCAACTTTGTGCTAGTGTAAACACCAATTCTGAGCTATTGAGCTAACCAACTCAACTATCGATAGGATAACCCATGTCAGTTTAAATAGCCTACTGCTTCTGTGTCGAAATACAAAACTACTGTTCTTTTACTACAAAAATCTACTACTTTACACACACTTACTGGATAAATTACTAGATAATTAAAGTGGGATTGAAAAATACACAAGCCACACTGCGAATCTCCGGTAGAAATCGCGATGAATCGATAGTGGAAAATCATTGCAAATCACTCCTTCCACCGATAGTATTCAGCTGCTATCGATGGTTTTGCATTTCCTTCTCTCGAAATCACGATGTCGACTGGTGTAAGTAAAAAATTTGCCGCAAAAATTCGCAAAATACAATGCCATCATGCGGCTATAATTGCAAATTTAATGTTGAACGCGTGCCCAATGCGTCTGATTACTTGTCACTAATGTTATTTCGTTTCGAATTTGGCTAATTGCAGACACTTTACACTTACCCCGAGAACTTCCGCGCGTACAAGGCGCTCATTGCCGCCCAGTACTCAGGCGCAAAGGTGAAAGTGGCTGATAACTTCAAGTTTGGTGAAACCAACAAATCAGCAGAATTTCTGAAGAAATTCCCCAGTGGCAAGGTAATACAAACACATATATTAATTGCAGGGGAAAACAGATATCCCTTGTCGCGTTTGGATGTGTGTGCTCTCGCGTCTGTTGAGCCGGCATGCTACGTCAGCAGCAAAAATGTCTACTCTTCTACTGTGCAGCGTAAAACTAATTTGTGTCGCGTGTCTTTTTGCAGGTTCCAGCATTTGAGACCGCTGATGGCAAATACCTGAGCGAGTCCAATGCCATTGCTTACTTCTTGGCCAGCGAGCAACTGCGAGGTGGCAAGTGCCCCTTCGTACAGGCCCAAGTGCAGCAATGGATCTCGTTTGCTGACAACGAAATCGTGCCTGCCTCCTGCGCACTGGTGTTCCCACTGCTGGGAATCTTGCCCCAGCAGAAGAACACCACTGCCAAGCAGGACGTGGAAGGTGTCCTGGCTCAGCTGAACCAGAAACTGCTCAATGCCACCTACCTCGCCGGCGAGCGCATCACCCTTGCCGACATCATTGTTTTCAGCAGCCTGTTGCATCTGTACGAGTACGTCCTGGAGCCGACAGCACGCGCTGCCTTCGGCAATGTGAACCGTTGGTTCCTCACCATCCTGAACCAGCCACAAGTGCAGGCTGTGGTCAAGGACTACAAGCTGTGCGAAAAGGCCTTGGTTTTCGACCCCAAGAAGTACGCCGAATTCCAGGCTAAGCAAGGCGGTGGCAAGCCCCAGCAGCAGCAGAAGCCTAAGGACGAGAAGAAGCCCAAGGAAAAGAAGGAGGCTGCGCCCAAGAAGGAGGCCGAGCCCGAGGACTTGGATGCCGCCGATGAGGCATTGGCTCTGGAGCCCAAATCCAAGGATCCCTTCGATGCCATGCCCAAGGGCACCTTTAACTTTGACGACTTCAAGCGCGTCTACTCCAACGAGGAGGAGGCCAAGTCCATCCCCTACTTCTTCGAGAAGTTCGACGCCGAGAACTACTCGATCTGGTTCGGAGAATACAAGTACAGCCAGGAGCTGTCCAAGGTGTTCATGTCGTGCAATCTCATCACTGGCATGTTCCAGCGCCTCGACAAGATGCGCAAGCAGTCCTTCGCCTCCGTGTGCCTCTTCGGTGAGGACAACAACAGCACCATCTCCGGTGTGTGGGTGTGGCGTGGACAGGAATTGGCCTTCCCCCTGTCGCCCGACTGGCAGATAGACTACGAGGTCTACGACTGGAAGAAATTGGATGCCAAGAGCGAGGAAACCAAGAAGCTCGTCACCCAGTATTTCTCCTGGACCGGCACCGACAAGGATGGCCGCAAATTCAACCAGGGCAAGATTTTCAAATAAGCATAAAAAAAACCTAACACCAACAGCAACACAGCAGCAACAATAAAAATTTGAGATTCTAAATGCAGCAAAAGCAAAAGCACGATGCCTATTCTTTAAGTTCCAACTGATAGTATCATAATGAGACGTTGTCGTCCGTCGTGCTGTGTTGTTTTGTGTCCTGGTCTGGTGTTCGCCCTGTGTTCGCATTTGTAAACTGAAGAATCGTTTTGTATCGCCCATACTTTAAATATATCCATGATATTGTCCACAAAACCAGCCTACAGCCAGAAAATAATTTATATAAAAGAATAAACAGTTTTCTATTAACAATACATACATACATTCCTTCATATCTGATTAGGCAAATTTTATTGGCTTCTGGTTAGATTGGATTCAATATCAATTATGTATTGCTTACGATTACAAGAGGCTCGACAGGTCTGCTTGAAGTATTTGAACAAAAGAATTCCCCACCCCTTCCCTTGAAGGGCGAAGAAAATTTCAACAAGGAAATGCTAAACGCGAATATCATCGATGCACCGCTGGAATTACTTCCTCTTGACAATAATGGGTCCCACGTTGTCGCCAGTCTGCTTGTTGTGTTCGGCATGGCTGCCATCGCAGTAGGGCCAGTTCTTGGTTTTCCAGCAGCGACAGAATGCCGCTTTATCCGCAATATCCTCCACATCGACCATGGTCACCACTTTGGCCTCATTTTTGCGTATTACGTTGTTGCAGAGGCCCGAATTCTTGTCACCACATCGGGCGGCAGGGCAGAAGGCTAGATAACTGGTGTATCCAATACCGGCTACAACAACCGTTGGTGGTATGAGGGCGAGCCAATCCGTGACTGTAACGTAAATTGGATAAGTTCCGAGCAGTTAGTTAGCAGGTTTATTTTAAGCAACAGATCTATCTAGCAGCATCACTGAGCTGTAACCGGCACAAGGCCGCAATGCCTTGGCATGAAAGAGACACCCTCTACACATAACTGTAAGTGTGTGTGTTTAATGAAGCGTCAATCGCACATATTTTGCTTTTCTTTTATCTAATTTCACTTCCCCCTATCGTTTTGCAGATAAACCGAAGCCAATTAAAAATTGCGTGTTTCCAACAAGCACAAGCACAGGCGGCGGAATGGCGAGAGCTCAACAAATGTTGCATAATATGTGCAGTGCAGGGGTCCAACGTAGATACTGCCACTGTACGGAGAGAAGTGCATGCGTTGCATTCTTATGGCCAATGCATTTCATACGTTAACAATCTTAACGTTAACTAACAATCTTTAACTCAAGAATCGCCCTTGATGCTGTGTCATCGTAGGACCACCCCGTCTGGTGGTGGTGGTCGTCAGTCCAATGTAGGGCGCCCTTGCAGGCAAATTCCAAGTGGATCGAATGCTCACTTTTCCCGTTACTTACAAGATAGCTTGAACCAGCCACCAAGACTGTCGGGAATTGGCAAGTTGGATAGATAGTTGGGCAATGTAGATTTAACTAGATGTGATATGGGCTCCATTTTCGAGTCTTTCCTTCGAAATCTTCTGTTATGTTGTAGAAAACCTGTTTTTGTTCTTGTTGTTTCGAATGGCGCCTGCGATACGTATGTTGAATTTTATCGATGGTTTGAAATTGAATCGATAGTTGCGCGCGTCTTTTGGCACAGATGGTGCTCTTAAAAATACTCGTGACTGATAAATAAAATACTATTGACGTTCGGCTTGACCTTTAAAGCCTAGTAATTAGTTCCGTAAAAACTGCTCGCAAACAAAATCAGGGTTGATATTCGTATGAGACCGATAATAAATTTTTTCGGGCACAAACATTGCTCTGTCAATAAAATATTGGGGAGTCCAGGATCAGTTAAATTATTTGTCGACCGAATCAGGGATAATATTCGTATGGAAAAGATAAGAAATCATCTCTGTTTCTTGTTCGACCAAAAATTTATCAGCTGGCGTTTAGCAGACAAGTATTCAGATCCGAAAACAAAAATGCCGATAGATACTGGAGAAGCAACAGACGGTGTTTTCCCATCTCGAGCGGAATATAGAATTATTTTATCTTTTGTCGTCAAAAACACATACATACATACAAACACACACATACACAAAAAACAAGTGCAAGCAGGATAGAAAAGTAAAACCATGGAGACAAATTCAATCTAATTAAGGCACTCGAATGAATATCGGTTATATGGATATTATTATTTACTTATTTTATACCCGGTACTCATTTTATTAATTTATTAATGTTATTTGTTGAGGCCTATAAACATATTCCTTTTCGTTTTCAATTGCGTTAGCACTATTTTTCTGCACATCTGTGATTGTTGTGTTTGTTGGTTAAACATGACGTTTCAAAAGTCAGTCAACAATTCGATAGACGTCTATTGCCATTTCCATACGCGCAAAAATCCAACTGATAAAACAAACCGAAATTTCGCCAAGTCTAGATTTGTATAAATACGGCTGGTGATAGCAGAACATAATATTGCGAATTCAGCAACTACATCGTATAGTTCAGTTACCAAAATGCTGGCTACAAAGTATCTTTTCCTGACTGCCGCCTTCTTGTTCTGCGTGAGTGGGGCTCTGGCTGTGACCTGTGAGGAAGATCCCACGGATACCGCCTGCATTGACTGCACCACCGATCCCACCAACACAGAATGTGTCACCACCACGACAACGACAACCACAACAACGACAACGACAACAACAACAGCATCCACAGTGGCACCTGTGACGACTGCTGCCACGACTACTGCCCCAACAGCCGCCCCACAAACCACCAAGAAAGCGGGCAACGTGAAGAAGGTCACCATTAGGAATCTTAAATACAAAGTCACGCGGAAGATCAAGGTCACCAATAAATCTGGCTGAACGAAAATTCATCTGAAAATATAGTCTACTTTATAGCCGAAATAAATAAAACAAAACAAAACAGTTAAAATACAATATATCTTTGCATTTAATTTTTGTTAGTAGCAATTTAAAACTAATATAGGAATGTATATACATATAACATAAACTATTTGTTCCCGATCTGCATCAAAATTCGAGCGGATGTTACCTCCTTGGCCGTTCCTTCATTTGATTGCAGATTTGAATTTCCAATTTATCCTATTTATTTAACGCTCTATCCCAGCGCTAAAAATTTTAAACTTATTAAAACTTAACTTTTAGCTGTTTTAATTATCTTTTCAAAATAGCAAAGTTCTTTACAACCAGACGTAAGATACTAGAGTTACGTGAAAAAAATAAGCGCTACCTCTGAAAAAAGCTTAAAAATTCCTTTTTTAATTCTTCAAAAATAAGTTCTGCCATAGAAAAAAAAACAATAATTCTTTAAAAAAATTTTCAGGTCCCATATCTATCAGAAAAAGTAGGTTTGGATCCTTGAGGAAAAAAAGATGGATTTTGTCGCGTAGTGTTATCAATGCTTAGAAGCAAAAATCACAAACAGCTACATAGCTGAAATTTTTCATTTAATATTTTAATTTTATAGGATATAAGAGTCTTACAGAAACTGAGCGCACATAGTCTTTTTTCCTACGTTTTACCAATATACCAATGCTTCAAAAAACTTTGTTACATTAATTTTAATTAGCCCAAACTACTGTATAATAAAAATTGTCGCATGGGAGCCATATTTAATTAATTTCATTCATATATTCGTAGCAATAATTTGCAGGGATTTTTTTTAAATTAATGTAGCAACGAAAGTACAACCAGACAGCGCTGAATGGAAAAAGTTTTGTTGTTTATTTGTTTTAATTCTATCCACATTTGTTTTCAACTTTGTATATTAGTATATTTGCCTAATGAACACAAAGTTTTGGCTAATCAAACATCCCAAAGCTTGGGAACCACAATTGATCACAATTTATTGGAAAGTTGTTTGTTTGGCGAACAATAGAGTTTTTGCCAGCCTCAAGGACGCTCAAAAGACCATATAAGTACAGGGGAATCTAAGTTGAAATAATATTGTAAAAGAGCCAGTTCGATAAAGAAGTTTAACTACTACCAAAATGAAGCTCACAAAGTATGTGATTCTGATCTTTGCCATTTTCTATTGCCTGACGGGCACCATAGCTGTCACCTGTGATGATGATCCCGACGATCCCAACTGCGTTGATTGTGACGCCGATCCCGAAAACGCAGAATGTCCCATCACGATAACCACAACCACTGAGGCGGTAGCCACAACAACCGCAGTGGCTCCGACTACAACCACAAGGAGAGCATTGAGGCCAAGGAGGCAGCTCATTGTCAACAAACTGAATTTAATACTCAACCGAAAAAAAAACTTCCTGAGAGCTTTATCCGGCTGATCTATGTAAGTTTCATGATCCTGCTCGACCTCCAGTGGTCGAAAAATCGACCAGTGACTTTAGATATTTTTTTACGTTAGCGTAAAATAGATATAACTTAGCAACCTTGCCAATATGGTAGTTTACACTTTTGTTAACTTAAATAAAATAGTTTGTAAGCACTAATTATATTCAACCATTCAATAATTTCACATAAAAAAGATATCAAGCGGTGAAAATATAAATTATTTTTTTTTGCAAATTTTTATATCGTTGATGACCATTTAATGACAGCGCAAACCGGCAGAGATACAAAATATTAAATATAGACTTTATTATGTTTATTGCATTAAATGGGTTAATGAAACTTACAGCAATTTTAGCGGCTTCAATTGCGTCGCAAATTCTGGGAAATAGGCATATCCTTTTTCTCCCATTAGTTGGCGTCACTACGGTAGTGATCCCAACTAGGCAATGTACATGTGAGGGATTCGTGCGGCAATCAATGCAATTCGGATCCTGGGGTTCTGCATCACAGGTGATTGCTGAAACGCCATCCAGGAAGTAGAATGCGGCCAGAAATTGGACCATGAACTTCAGAGAAACCATATTGGTCATTCACTCTATGCGGCTTGGAGGACTGTGAATGCGGCTAGACACGCACAAGACTAAATATGAAAGTTTGTTCAGCTGTCTGGCGTGAAGAATCCGCATTTCAAATCGGTTATTGTGAAGGGGCAAAAATTTATTAATATTTTAATTAAACCTAACAAATTAAAATTTTGTATGGATTTATGAGTAGTGTGTATTAGCTGTAAAATGACATACATATGTATATGTTATGTGTATAAGTATACAAAATTAATCATAATACCTATCAATTGCTGTAAGAATCACTCTTTTAATCAACACTCAAAAGAACTGTGGCTTGATCAATTTATCTTACATACTATATGTGGCTACCAATGAAAGGATCTGTATAAAGACTCGAAATAATAGCTTCTTGGACTTACATATTCGTACCTATCCATAGGCATATTATACCAAGGTGTACATTCAAATCGTTTGGCATGGTATAGTAGCTCCCATGGGCACAATCGATATACAAGAGCACCAAAAAGCTTCAGGCCCCAAAGCTAGCCTTTCTTTCGTCTTATCGCTCTTCTCTTTTGTTTGGCGCTCGCTCGCCTCTCTTCAAAGTTCCAACGAAAGAGCACAGCAAATAAATGCAAACGAGCTCCAAAGCGCGCCAAACTTTTTTCCACCCGCTGGGGAGCAACGCGTTTCGTTGTTGCTCTGCTCTGCTTTTATTTTTATTGCTCTGCGCTCTGCTCTGTGCTCTGCTTTGTGCTCTGTGCTCTGTGGGACAGCAACAGTGATCGGGGCAGAGCGAGCGAGCCACTATTTAATTTTCGTTTTGTCGTGGAACGGGAACGGTCCAACGTCCCGATATACTTGTACCGTAGCCGTCCCGAGCAATGCAGCGCGGAAAAGTCGAGTAAAAGCGTTCGTGACTGAATTTTTGTATTTATTTACCGTTGCCTTTGCGGCTTCACTGTGTGTGTGCCCGTATTCGCGTGTGTCTGTGCGTGTGTTTGTGTGTTTCTGTTTTGGTGCTCTTCTTCTTTGTTGGGGCCGAAAGAAAGCAATCAACATTTGGAGCCAAAACAGTGCCGTGCTGTGCCGCCTAACAAGAAAACAATCCAAATAGTTGGCCAAAATAGAGATCTTTAACGGGAATTAAGTGATAATAGTGCGCCATCTAGCGGCCAGAGTGGGTAAGTAGCATTACGGATAAGCTAAATTCCTTTGGAAATGGGCAAAGCAACAAATCTCCTCTGATAGGCATAAGATATAGTCCTCCGATATTTATTAATTTTGGAAAAAGCTATAGCTTTTTTTTAGTAGAATATCTTCAGATATTCAAAAAACTTCAAAAACACTTTTCCCGACATAGATCGATGCTTCCTGGAGGACTTGTGCTCCTACATAAAAAAAAATCCTTTTTGACCTATATTACCAGTGACGTGATGCTGTGAAAGCTGATCAAGAATACATCTATCGTTTTATATGGCAGATACTTCCGTCTATGCGTTACAAACATTTGATCGAAAAGCTTATACCCTACAGCGTACAACGAAAACAAAAAAAGAAAAAGTAACCGCCATCCTTTTGACAGGCGGCGACGACATAAAATGTCAAACTGTCGATCAACATCAAGGCGAAAATATGCAAGATGCGTGTCTCAACTGCTAAGAGGGTCGACTGCTGCCACACACACACACACACACACAGATACACAAATGGCTGCCATTTATGCAATCCCCAAAGCTCTTGGTCCCTCTTCCCGCCAGTGCCCTTCCTTTTTGCCGCGCTTAATCTCAACGCTGATCTCTGAGTTTTGCATGCCTTCCCGTTGCCCATCCCGTTCCGCGCCTGCTGCTCTTTTCTGGAATGCGTTTAATTCGAATTTGAATTTCATCGTTTTATTTTCTACTCTTCTGGTTCCTCTCCTTGATCTCTCCTCCGTCTTCTTCTGCGTGTTCCTCTCTGATTCGCTTGTTTTTACAACGCAAAACACTTGTTAAACGCGAATCCGCACTCTCTCTCTCTGTCTCTGTCTCTATCTATCTGTTTGTGCGTTTTGTGGGGGAAGAAATCAAAGTTAAGGCAAAAATTTAATTAATATTCCCACACACTCCCCAGAAACACACATGGAATACCATGAACAATGTGCTTTTTGTTGCTCCGATCTATCCGTAATTGTTGTTGCACAGATTTCATTTCATTTCATTTTCCATTTGTCATTTTGTGTTTTGGTATCGATCGCGAGTGTTTGTTATTGGTTATTGGCGCTGGGCACACGCTTACTGCACAGGATTATATTGGAGCCTATCTATAGAGAGGTGCCTCCGCTTCACGTCTGAAATCCTCGTTGTCCATCATCTCGCGCTGCAAGATTCGGTACGTGAATAAATCTAAACTATTTTTAGATGGAATTTATGCAATATCGAAAAGAATTTTTACTGTTTCTATGTGACTGGAAATTTAACAATATGCGGATTTATTGAAGTCGAGTGTCTATAGGGTTCTATTAGCTGAAAGTGTTGAAAGTTTAATTTGAAATGGGCAAAGGGAATGCCAGAGAATGCCTCTTTGAAGAAACTGTACCTAAAAATATATTTCTATCAATCAAAAAAGCCTCAAATGAATTTATTATTGAATCTATTGAAGCCAATCAGCCTTTCTGTAACTTGATTTACTAACCAAAGAACCAATCCAAGAATGCAGCTCTCTTCACGTTCTTTATCCCAAAATTCCTTGCTTCCTTATCACCATTCGATGGCGAATTGCAACTGAGAAAATTCTATTAGTTCGCCAATACGCAAACACCTGAAGAACACATGCCAAAGACCATCATCAGCAGCAGCACCACCATCAAACAGATGTTTCATGTGTGTGTGGCAGAAGTGCAGATGCAATAAAAATAGTGGGGCATTCCCAAACGAAATTCCACTCAAATTTAAATGCAAATGAAAATGCAAATGAAAATGCAACAGGTTGCTTGCGATGGGGCGACGACAGACATTTGACAAACGACAAACAATTGAACTCAATTTTAATTGTTGGCCATATTCATTGTTGAAATATTGTGTTAGTTGTGGTTATGGTTGTAGGGCCAATAAAAATTCATCAATTTAACGATCTCATCGAGGTCTTTATGCGCTTGTCAAACAACTTTACATTGTATTTATGTACGAGTACTCGGGCCGTAGTATGTAACCAAAAGCCGAAGCTCGTAAAACGTGCGTGGCGGTGGCAGTCAGAGGCAGCGCCACTCTGTCGCTGCTTTTGATGGTGGTACCACTCGCTGTTGGTGCTTCGTTTCGTCGATGGTGCACCCACATAGTACAATATATGTTTTTTTGGCACAAGTTCGTTGGCTTGGCTGATCGCGATAAGCGGAAAACCGAATAAAATAAAAGACTTGACACAAATGTCAAAAAAGAAGACGAGGCAGCGCATCGAACATTGCGAACACGAGAAATGTCAGAGTGAAGTCCATCTAAAATGCAGACAGCAGGCAAGATTCCTGAGAAATATGTACGTATGCTTGTGTGAGGCTACAGTGCGCATCGAAAGCATAAAACTGTTTTGTGGACTTCGTCTAAATAACAGAATCGATGAAAAAATCGAAAAACTTTCAACTTCTTTGTGTTAAAATTAAAATTTTCCTTTCAAGCACTTATAGCCCTGAAACGCACTGTACGTACATATATGTATTACTATACCTGGCATGATTAATCAAATTTTATGCGAAATCAGTTGTTTAAAGCGGTCGCAAATGAAAACGACAACACATCTTTTTTTTTACATTTCTTGCTAAAAAGAATGCAATGGACGTGTGTGTGGGTGGAATGAAAATGTTTTTGTGGTCCAACATTGCGTATGCGTGTTTTCCATTTGCTATATTCGCTCTCTATGTCTGTCTCTCTGCATCAGCTGTTTGTTGTGCTACATTTTTGCCACAGCTGCTCTTTCCATGTCCCAACGTGCTCCAATTTTCCTAAATAGATATTCAAATAGAGTAAAAAATTCATTTGAAGAGTTTTTCTTTTTTTTATAAATAAATTAGCAACAGAGCTGCAAGCTTTCCTCTCTCTCTCTCTGCTTGCTGTGGATCTCTTTGCTTTCTAGTTTTACTCTTTGAAATGTTCTCTCTTATGGCATGTCTCTTTTTTGCTATGAATATTGTTGAGTATTCTGTTTTGTTCATCCAGCAAATTATTTTAATTGTTTACAAACGTTCTTTTTGTTGTTGCGCAAATAAATTGGCTCCCACTCTGCCGCTCTGACGTATTGCTCGTCGATTGTGAATATTTATTATAAATGTTATTGGCATTGCTCTGCCCGTCGCTTTTGAATAACTTAATTTTTTTTCGTTTCTTTATTGGCCGTTTGACAAATTCGAAAAGCCAAAACGCTGCCGAAGAACGCCTCAATTGATTTATTCGATTTTATTCCGTCTCGTGCGGCGCTCAATTGCAAAACTCTGGGGGTATACGCGGAATAAACGATCTTGTAAATTGCTCTCGCATATCGTCAATCTTCTGAATCGCCTATTGTCGAACTTTTCCTTTCCCCATTCCGCCTCTCTCTCTCTCTTCGGTCTCTTTCTTTTGTGTAAGTGCAATTTTACGTGCCGAAATTCTGAAAATATAAAATTGTGATAAATCCATCGAAAATATGTCATAAAGCTGTGCATTTAAGGAGTGGACCACCCATTGCTCAAGTGAGTGGAAGCGTCTGCGATATAAACCACACATCTAGAAGATCCTACTTGCTTCTAAAACTTCAATGGAATATTGATTTAGCTCTGAGAAGTGAAAATGCAAATCATGAATGTTGAAGTTGCATTTATTCAAATATTTTATAGGATATAAATTTTTAGATTTGTTTTTTTAAATCAAGTCTATGAAATTAATCTGGGAGGTATAATTCGAGGATTAGAAGAGCATTGATGTACCCAACTTGATAGCATATGTATACAATAATAAAAAAGAAAGCCTGTTGGAAAGTTCACAAAAGATATTCCTACTGACATTACACTGACTTGAAAAATTAAATGCCGATACCCAAAAATGAATATACATTTTTTCAAAGAGTATTCATCACTATCGAAAATGATAAGCACTGGAGACTCATCTTCATCATTTATTTATAGATAAAATCAACTATTTATAGATACTTGCAGAATTATTTAGCTGGCCAAAAGTACTTGAACGATTTGTTTATATCAGCATCAAGTGAAATTGATTAACCACTAAATACGCACAATAGAAATTTCAGGTGAATTCGCAGACAGGTGCCAGAGACAGAGGTGTATACGTGTATACGTATGTATGAACGAGTGGCACAAGAGATATGGCAGAGCAATCCCCATGACAGCTGTCTCCATGCCATACTCCATGCTCCATGCTCCACTTGATCTTGTGCGTGTGCTTTTTGGGGCTGGAGCTGGAGCTGTATGCTGATGGATGTCGCCAGGGGCACATTAATCCCGCTTCCATGCTTCATGCACGGACTGTTGTTGTCGATGCTGCGGCTACTGCTGCTACTGCTGCTGTCGCTACTGGTGCCCCGGGCAACGTCGCATTTACCTAAATTGGAATATCCGGTAAAACGTAATGAAAATCGTAGCAATCAAGCCAAAAACACACACAGAAACACAAGGGAAAGAGAGCAAAAGAGAGGGGAGTATAGGACGTACACGCTCACATTGATATGCAAATGAATGTCACCATCTTAAATGAAATAATCGTCTTAAACGAAGGCAGAACATCAGCTGTCCCCGAACCCCAATCCTCATACCCCCCAGTCCCAGTTCCAGACCCAATTTCAATTCCAATACCAAACCCAAACCCCTGCCACAATCGTTCAGATTCGTAAGCTTTAATTGCTTTTCTTCTCTCTCTCAGTTCTCGTCTTTTATGGCTTATTTACTATAATAATTCCATTCTTTTATGGCATATAAAAAACCAACCATCTCTAATATATTCCACAGAATACTCAAACAATTTTCAATGTCATATCTTCCGCACGAGTTATTCTCGATTTTTGCCACTAAATTTAGATATTTCTGGGTAAACATTTAAAATGTGAAAGAAACAAAAAAAACAAAGAGTACTGCAAGTACATAGTTTTGTGGCTCGATAAACACTTTCAAGTATTCGAATTGGGTTACATTGTTGTAAACAATATAATTTTGGTTAAAAATAGTGAGAGCTGCTTGTTGGGTAAAAGTTTTCTATTCATTTTTCTGCGAGGAAAGAGAGAAGTACACAAGATATTTAATTTCAACTATGAGTAAGTAAATATTAAATTTAGATAGTGGTACTTTGATAACTTTGCTTTTAGATGAGTAATTGGTGTCACAGTAGATCCAAAATGAATCAAAAATAGTTCCAAAGAGTTATAATTATATCTTTACAAATATGTTTATTCTATTCTAAACTATTACATCTAAACTACGCAAAAACAAGCCCATTATTGGTTTAAAAATATGAAATCTACATAATAAACAGAATAGAAAATTCTGATGAGCTTAGCCGGAAATACCATTGCAATAACATCCATTCTGTGGAACAAAGGAAAACTAAATTCCCAGCAACAAACTTCATAACATCATGAACCTGTAGAACTCTTCCATTTATGCACTATGTTGAAACAAATAAATCATCTCGGGACGGGACCCTTAGATCTACATACATATGTTTATGAAATCAGATTGCGAACCAATATAAAAATCAATCGAAACAACAAGAAAAATTCCTTAAATCAAAACTTTTCCATCAAGGTTTCGACACAAATTCATTTCGAGAACACGAGGGAATTTGTAAATATATATATATATATGTATAGAAGGCCCCAAACCGAGCACCTCCGCCCCCCATGGAAGTGCAAGTAAAATGGTCAAGTGTTGATGTATCGATGCCAGCGATTGCGAAGTTCATTGGAGAACTGTTTGTTCGCACCAAATCAGAATAGAAATCAATATGCATTGTGAATATGAATATGAATAGTCTTATAAATGAGAAATATGCCAATAAAAATATTTGTGGCATTTCAGACTCCCCAACTAGGGTTACCCTGCCGTACACACATACCGTATACATATGCGGTCGGTCGTGTATATTTTATGGGCCTTGTACTTAATAATTTGTGGCACTAATTGCGGTCGGTGCTCTGCGGTCTGCGGTCTACGTTCACTCCGATGGTTGTCACAATTTAAACTCGTCTGAGAGGAAGTTGTAAAATAGATAAAACAAAAAACTAAAACTAAACAAACTTTCCGAATGCATCTCCAAAATAATTATTCATATGCAGTGGGGTGGGGGGGTTTTTTGGGTGGGATGTTGGCTGCACGTTGCTGCATTTCCGGGCGTGAATTTGAGTGTGTGTTGTTTTTTTTTGGGGGGAAAACTTGTTGCTTCCGCTAGAAAATATTCATAAATTTCCCACTCAAACCGTTAGGCCCTTGATGGCTTCGTTGAAACCTTTGGCTTTCCACTTGATACTTTAGTTTTAATTCGTCTCTTCCCAGCCATATTTATCGGTATTGTTGCTGCTTTGCCATGCGCATATTTAATTGAAAAAACTTTATTTAATATTAATTATTATGCTTCCCTATCTATTTTCCATGTTTCACAGGTCTCTTTCCCATATATGCGACCAAAACTTTGACTGTTCGTATCCGCCGGAAGCTCCTTAACGGGCCAGAACAAGTGCAAAGCCCCCCAACAGGTGGAAGGAGGAGACTCCCCAACTCGAAGGAAGCCACTGCAATAGAGAGTGGGCTAACGAAACTTCAGTTGTCATAGAGGCACAAAATTATTCGTAGGCAGTAAAGATGTCTGTGGGTGAGTATACAAACTGTTTGGGGAAAGGGTTTGAAGAACCTTTTTTTGTATGGGATAAAGTTTTAAGCGCTTCCGATTCCAGTTCGTAAATATTCAAATATGTTTTTGGTAACTCAATCTTAGAGAATTATCAGAAGATTTCCAGCTCGTTGAGGGATCTAAGGGATTCAATGATTTTTACAGGATAGGCTTAAATTGTACTCGAGTAATATTTTTTTTAGCTTACTTTTTGTTTCCTTTACTGTCCTTTACTTGTAAATCCTGTAGTAGCCCCAAGTTCATTCTTCAGCCCTCACATATTCTCTTAGACAAAGTAATTAACAACTCTTTTTGGTTGTCCACACTCCAAAACCCCCAATCCTTGTAGCAACATGTTATATAGATATATCTGAGGGTTCTCCACAAAGCGTTGTTGCATGTCCAGTACATGGCATAAACATGACAAACTCGTTCACGCCCCGAGGCTCACTTGACACCAAATCACGCAGGGGTACAGGGGCACATTGGGTATTGGGTATTGTGTATTGTGTATCCTCCTTCATGGCATTCCATTCCTAATGATCATGATCGGCCCACGAAAACTACTGTGAAAGTGGAATAAGTGAATACGAGAGTATGGGAGTACACGAGTACGTACACACATTGCATTGGCAATTTCCCAGAACGCCAACGCATTTATCTTACAAACTCGAACGATTAGTCGTCCGGGGGCCGAGGCGAACTGGAGCAATCCACTTAAGATTGTCTCCGAATCGAAGGGAAGCGCCCGGGGGCGGGGCCAAGATCGTGTAGATCGGGGGCTAGGCTCTAGTTAGAGACAGAGGCCCACCTAAAAACGGCAAAGTGCGATATTTTCCCAGGCAAAGACTTTTCCATACATTAGTGTATCCATTAGATACTTTCCACGACTCGCTGCCACTCACAGAGACAGGCAGCAGGCAGGGGTAAGACCAGGCAGGTCATCCATCAATTTGTGTGTTTGGAGCAATCATAATAGAGATAATACTCGTGAATACTGCGAGCACAATGAATAATAATAAATAACAAATCAAATGTTTGGGCACCCCATCCATACAGGGCAGCCTCTAATTAGTCAGATTTGTGGCATGTATCTGTATCTCTGCAGTGCAGCATTTTCTTCTTGGTTTTTTGTTATTATTATTTTTATTTATGTGTGTCCGCTCACTAGAACAAATAATCGGGCAGCTGATATGGGAAATGGCGCAATTAAAATACAAAAACTCGAAACTTCGAGTCTCTGGAGCAACGGAGGGGTGGAGAGGCTCGGCTCGGCTCTCCGAAGAGGAGGGATGGGAGTGATGGCACAGTCCACAGTGGCAGTCCCTCCCCTGGTCGTGGTCCATTGCCCGCATCTACAAAACATTCTTATAAATAGTTTTTGTCGCCGCTCTCTATGTAAATCATTCATTAAATCTGCATTGAATTTCGTTCACTCATTCATTCGTTCGTTCGTTCGTTTGCACATTTTAATTGCACTCTCTGTTTATATTCGCTTGGGAGCTATTCGCTTTATGGCCATTCATTCAACTTCTCGATTCATTCATTCACTTTGTGATGGAGTGGTGTCTGATGTTGGATTCGCTTACTTAGTTCATTGACTCATTTGTGAGCGAGTTTGATTATCCAAAAATGATTCAAATAAAAAGGTTTAATTAATAAAGATACCTAGAAAATTATTTGCGTCATCGAAGGGCGAACAGGTAGCAATGTAATGGATGAATATTATAGGACATATGTACATACGTATGTACATACATATGTATAAACGAGTATGTAACTATCTGCTTAATCTTCTGAATTCGAATATCCGAATAATATCTTGATGCAATTTATTCAAAATTCGTACACAATCTGTACTGAAAAATTTTCAATAATTGTGAGTCACTTTGAACGTCATCGAATGGGGATGATCAATACGTTTTTGCATTGTAAAGCCGGAGGCACACCTAAAATAATAATTAAATACTCTCTGTAAATATTTACGCAAATTAATTTTCGCTTGTTCGGGGGGGGCTTAAGGAATTGTGGGGGCCTTTGTTTCGCCAACATTCCATGCCTCCTCGCGTCTGGCAGTTGGCAGTCGGCAGAAGATAAAGAAATCTATTAAGGCTGCCGTCAGACATTGGGTAAAAGTGGACCAGAGACCCGACCCCAATTGGTTGTTGCTCCTCGAGGCCGGTCTCCATTGCCAGTCGCCAATCGTCGTCAATCGCCACTGTCGTCACAGACATGTGGGCACTCGGCCACCGTTTACGCAAATTCGCATGTCATCTGCTTAATTGTGAATATCTCTGGTGTATCGTTGATTATCGTTCATGTCTCAATTTCTTTTACGAACCATTTGTGCGGCCATCCTGTAGCTGCTCCATCCAGACAATTCTGCCTTTGGCTTGCTAAAAATACCACAAAAGACATTAGATGTCGCCAGACACTCATCTGCTACAAATGATTCTTCATAATTGAATTACATGGCCAGCGACAAGAGCGTAAAAATTATAATTACACACCTCATAATCATAGCAAAACAGAAGAGCTGAGTGGGAGTTTTTGGGGTAGGTAATACAAATAGGGAACAGTGATGCTGTCTAGGGCCGCCGCACCAGACACAGAGTCCTCGGAGGAATGTTGATCAACATTTTCTGTAAAGGAAAATCCAACGATGCGTGCCGAGAGACTTTGCATCCAAGTGGATACAGTGGAAAGAGTGGATACAGTGAAAAGAGTGAAAAGTGTGTGGGTTGGGATGGTGGACTGAATGCTGGCCCCCGATTCAGATCTGCAACATTTTCCTAATTCCAAAGTCAAGCAAGTGGGAACAATGAAAATTTATGTCGACAGCTACATATGAGGAAATGCTCACAGCATTTTGAGTAGGAGATCGTAGACCATTAGCCTAGAGTTCAAGCAGGGGAAAAAATAAATATTTGTTGAGATTTTCTGAGGATTAAAAAGAACCTAATATATTAAAAGACCTCTCAAATTAAATGATTCCCAAACTATCTGTAAAGATTCTAGATTTTGGCTAAACGTTCAGCGTGCAAATATATGTATTAGAATCAAACCAAAAAAAATCTCAATGATCTCCAGAACAATCTTTGCGCCTCCGAAACATCTTCAATTGTGCGTCGTGCGTTGTGCGTCGTACTCCCCTCCGAAGATCTCGTATTACAAGTGCAGTCACAGCGAAATAAATCAAAATTTGGTAGTGAGTTCGTGTGTGCCTCAAGATAGATGCTTTGTACAGCAACAAAAAACTGAAAGAAACGACGAGCCTAAGTGCAAAGCGTTACAAGATCAACAGCATCATTATAAACGTCAGCGGAGCTAGAAAATGGGGAAAATGGAACTGCGGTGGGGGTTGGGGTGAGTCGCGAGTGAAGTTGCCAAGGCGATGGCGATGGCGATGGCGATGGTGTAATTAATGCACCACTGATCCTCCAGGGTATGCCAATTGACATTTAACATCAACCTGTGGTCGGGCTTCAACTTCATCAATGCAACCACAATGGAGCCATCCCTTAAGTTATGTCATCCGAAAGACTGGGGAATGGGATGCCAACGAGCAACTGCGCACAAAGATTTCCTGGTACATGCCTTCCTTCTGGGGAAGATTCCCTGGTAAAAAAAAAAGAAGACACGCGCTCCACAGGGGAGCAGGGAGTAGGTAATGCTGATGGAAACAGGGACATGGATATGTAGTATATGGCCATGGCACGGGGGATTGTAATGGAGTTTACAGCAGATCTTTTTTTGAGTTTTTTTCTGTTTTTTTTTCTTCGTTTTTCACGGAAGAGAACCTTGTCATGTGCTCGGTGCGAGTTTCCATTAAGAAAATAATTAAACATTTGTTTTGTTGCCCGCAGCCCAGAGCCCACAGCCCAGCGAGCTGTCCGTATGCGGAGGAGAGTGACGAGGAATTGAAATCTGTTGAACAGATGTCTGGGCGGCTGCCGTGGCGGCTCTTGTCCGTGGATTTATGAACGTGCAGCGACGTTTATATGCATTTCCAAACACCTTTTCGGCATGGTAGTTCTTATAAATAACATTTAGTATTGGCAACAATGGGTTAACATAGGTACACCCATCCCCATGCCCTCCCCCACGACAGTATTTTCGATGGATGTCAACCACACAAAAACAGCGACCAATACAACACTCAAGTGCCATAAAACCAAAGATCATAAAAGTGTTTATTTGATTTCTGATTGCATCGGCGACACCTTTTTCCAGTAGCCATGCCGTTCGCCCACACTCTCATCAAATGTATCTGCCAGGTAGAGAGATTTGTATGTACATCTTCTCACCTCACACCAGCACACTTTCTTTCGCCTGCTGTCTCCTGCTTTCACTTCCCAAACACATCCCTTTCTTATGTGGTTCTGTCTCCTTATTCTTTGCCCTGTTCTTTGGCATTTCCGTTGTGGATTTTTCTCGAGTGGCGGCGGCACATTAACATGGAGTACACGTGCCGTGCCGTGCCACGATCGGGCGGACTATCGAAATTTTGGTTTTCGGCTTTGGAATTTTTAATTACTAAATCTTTGGTCGCATCCTCCTTTTCGCAAGTTGTTTTTCCTCAGTTTGTCGAGTGGTCCCTTTCGGGCCTCCCTTCTCAATTTTCAGGGCACTTTACTTCCGCTGCTGTGCCGAAGATCTCGAATCCGTGGGCGGAACTCTTCACAACTATTTTATGGACTTTTGTTTTCCTTTTCGGGAAAACTAAAATAACACTTTTGGATCTGCATTTTATGGGTTTTTAAATCCAAAGACTTGCCACGAGAGCCCTTTTTATGATCGATTGATAAATATAGCTCCAGAAAACTGAGCAAACGACAAATTAATGATGTTTGGAGAAAAACATATGCATAGGAAGTAAAACTCAACTTTACTTTGAGCCTAAGCTTAGCCTCCTTGCAGCTCTTTTTGTGTCCCAAACGCATTATTGATTCCATAAAAATATTATTTAAATTTGATAAATCTTTTGGGGAAATGGATTTTCGTTAAGGTTTTCCATGGAACCACTTCGTGTGCACCTGCAACAGTCGGGAATGAATAATTTCAATAATAATAACAATAAGAATCATGGGGGTCCCCCCTGATTGTTCAGCGTCGCGCCATGTTGCCAAACTTCCGGGCAGACATGCGCCGCAATCCCCTCGTCTCGTCTTTTGTGCCACCGTGTTGCTTTTGTTCCCCGTGTGTGTGTGTGCCTGCGTGCCCCTTCTTTGGGGTTAAATCATAAAAACTGGAAAATAATAAACAAAACATTTCAATTGAACGTGAAGGAAAACTCGTAGTGCACATAAAATGACTCAAAAATGCTATTCCATTCGGGGGGAAAATAGATGCTGAAGCGGGTGGTATCCGTATGAATACTCGCATGACTATCCCGGAATTCGTATGAAAAAAGGCTGAGTAAATAGGAGCATGCTTCGAGAGAAATATTTAGATTCAACAAAATAATAAGCAAGAGCGGAATGTGATCTTCCAGTTGCCGAAGCATTGAATACTCTTGCAGATCGATTGGAATTATGTCAGCTATAATATATAATATAATATATCAAAATTCATTTGATTTGAATCAAATTTTGTCGATTTTTCTGTGCTTATCTGCTCAAAAATACATTCCTATATCCTCTTTAATCTCAAACATAAATTCGGAAATCGCAATGCTCTTCCCTTTGAAAGTGTACAATAACATTGCGCACAATACTCCTGCTGTAGTCCCGTCTCGTGGCAAGTGGCAACCGAATGGTGCAAGCCCTGCATACATGTACATTGGAACTACGCAATATAGGGAGTGCCACTGAGGAAGGTCTTGTCAGGCCGATGGCAGCACAATTTACGACAACAATGTAACAAATCAAAAATTCACAATTACGCACTTGTTCCCCTTGCCCCCCCAACAGCTCTTTTGGCCAGCTTCCTGTTTGGCCAAAGACTTTCCTTAGACGGGTTTTCTTCCATTTGATTGCAACTATTATATGTTTGATTATTTGTTCAGGCCATTTAAAGCAATTAATACCATTGATTTTATGGCCTAATGATGACTTCTTTGAGATTGTCTTGACAAGGGATTTGGCTGTTATAAAACGGTTTTGTTGATATAAATCAAACAATTGATAAAGAACACGGTTAAAATACTATAATAAAGTGTAGAGTGATCAATAATGGATGATTAATTGGTGAGCAAATCTTTTGAAACATAATCAGAAATTATTCATGCAACATTTCAAAATTTATCTGAACATTTTCGCATTATTGAGAAATCTAAAATCGGAAATTCCTTTCATTTTATTTCGATCATTTTCTGGGAAATTTTAAAGATTTATATATTTGTTTATGAAATATTTCTTTAATTTCTTATTCAAAGTATTTCCATTCATAAATCATTTTAGGGAAAAACAGCACGAAATGGGTCCAATTACTCATATGACGTATCCATATTTTGCTTGAGTTAAAATTCCTTAGCCAATCGGCTAAATAGTAGTAGTACGAAGTATTTGAATATTTTATTATGCCAATCATCTTCAACTTAATAAGAGTACGCCAAAACTGACCCCAGAGAACAACAATGCCAGAGAGGGATCTCTGTAGAAGAATGGTAGCAAGCGTAATTAACCTGTCAGCGCCATAGAACAATCAGCAAGAGTGCAACAAATGGCGTCCGAAAGGAAACCAGCAGCAACAATGCTGCTCTGGCTCCACTTGGAGCTCTAACTAGACAAAGAAGGAGAGGTTACAGCTAGTAGAAGCGACTACAGATTTACGACTCGTCTAGGGAGAGAACCCACTTCCCCGAGCAGCAGCAGTCGGCAGCAGTCCCAGAAGAGTGCCCTGCCACGTGAAGCGTGCTGGCGAAGACAACCATTTGACATTTATGTGCAGGCAAATGCATTTCCACAAGTACAACAATCGACTGCAAGTACCCGAGGAAGAGAGAGGGAGATGCGGTTCAAGATCATTTGCATCCACCAGACACACATGCACCGATACAAAGATACACTTACGGGTAGAACAGATACAAAGATACAGTGTCACTTGCTCCCATCGCATGGAGTGGCACTCGAAGAACAGCCATCTTCTCGCCTTTATAGACTACGAAATGTGCAATTTCTTTTTACTTTTACGAGTTTTCCATTGGTCCCAATGTGCAGTGCATCTGTCTGTCTGTTGCTGGTCGGGGTTTGTTGGCCCAGTCCCTGTTCAGAGAGGCCCAGAGTCCACTTAGGAATTCCATAGACAGACCACATGGAGTCGGATCACATTTTGCCACTTGAGTTTTCCTTTGGGCAAAAGTGAAAATGTGTTCGTTCCCTGCACTCTTTAATGTGCATATGGGTGCTGTGCTCGTGTTTGGGCCTTTGATGCTCTCACTCTCGAGTTGCAGTTCCTGTACTTCCCCTTAATGTGCCGGGAATATGTCGCCTTTTATTATGGTCTTCTATTTTCGGCACTGCTGCTCTCTATGCTATGGTCGCTGCTCTCTATGGTCTCTGCACCCATCAATGGTGACAATTTCCATGTGCCCAAAGCCGGCAGACTGTAGAAAATGTTGCAAAATGTTCTGCGCCATTGGTTATTTTGTTTTGAACTGAAGACATTGCTGAAGGATGAGAGTAAACTTCAACTTCAACTCCAATTTTGTTTTCTTCAATCTCTGTAGCTCGCTTTCTCACACTATTCCCTGCCCTCCCAATATTATGTTCTTTTCTCATGGTCTTGGGAATATATTCTAAAAAAACAAACCAAAATAATCTCATAAATGTTTCCTTCAACAAATGACAGAAGACATCATCGCAATCATGCAACCGAGAGACCGAGAACCCAACCACAGACAACACGCGGCATAGAAATTCAAACTTTGACACTGATAAGACGTGGGGAATACTAAACGGGGAGTGTGGAGTTCGTTGGGACTTCTATTTCTGAAACTTTACCCATCGGAACTCATCAAAAATTCATGACGGTACATGGGGCTGAGGGGAATGGGAATCCGAATCGTGAAAACATACAAAGACGAAGGCGAAGACGCAGGCGAGGGCGATGATAATTTGATCATGCGAAAAACGCACGCAAATGAAAAACATGCGCAGGTACAACAACAACAACAACAATGTCCCTCAGGAAAAGTGAGTTTCCCTTTGGCCATAGAGTTTTGTTTTTCCCTTATCCATGGAGTTTTCCCCTGCGAAGAGGAGGCGGAGGCGGAGGCAGAGCGAACCCTGTGGCAGAGGACAGGACAGGGATCGACGTTGTGTTGTGAGTGGGTGCAAGGCGCAATGTGGCAACCATATTTAAACACTGATCTCGTATGTGTGTGTAAGTGTGCGAGCGAGAGGGCTATCTGTTTTTATGCTGCTGCTGCTGCTGCCGCCGCTGCTGCTGCGCTGCCTCTTCGACTGTATTGCGGCGTACAGTGGAACGACTGCATGATACATTTATTAATAAATAAGTAAATAAGTAAAGTCAACAATGGAAACCACAAGTTACGAGAATTTGTATTTATTTAAATTAAAAATTAAATCAAATTATTAAAATTAAAAAAAGAAATGCCATTAGTTGCTTTTCATGATTAATAAAATACAATAAATGAAGTTCCAAAAAAAGTGTTCATAAAACATAATTCTATTTATCAGAATGTATTACAAAAGTATTACAAAATACAATAGTTCAAAATGCAAAGCTTTTAGTTTCATTTGAATATTTTTATTTTACACCACAAAAGAGTGGAAAGGTTCCACTGTGCGTAGCATGCCCCGTGCGCGTTGATGGAATTGAATTGAAGTAGAAGCAGTGCATGGAAAATAAAAACCAAAACCGAAGAGCAGCGGCCGAGCAGAGGAAAGCAGCAGCGGGCAGCGGGCAGAGGAAGGCGGCAGCGCAGTGTTTTGTTCTCGTTGAAGTTTTAGAATTTATTCAGTTTCGGGATGTCAATGAAGAAGCACGCGCTGCGCCTCCAATGAAACTTCTCAAATAGCAAACAAAAATTCCAAATCGGAAAACAAAACACAAATTTGATTTAACATCAATTTTGAATTGGAATTTACGAGAATTGCATTTTGCCGCGTTTATCAATCAATCAATCAATCAATCAGTGAAACGGACACAGTGAAATCCACGAGAGTTTTTGCCAATTTTGGCACTCATCATTTGTTTTTGTGTGTTTGGAACTTTACGCGACCTTTTGCGCGCCTTTTGTGTGACTTTTGGCGCGTGCGCAGGCGCAGTAGTGAAAGTAACCGATGCCTCACAAATCAAGGCAGTGAATTGTGGCAGAGACATTGTAGAGGGAGTGGCAGAGAGAGAGAGAGCAAAAGCAACTAAAGCAACAAACCCCAAAGCAGTTAGGATCTCAAGATGTTTGTCACTGTGGATAATACAAACACCTTCTTCTCAGGTACAGTTCTGGGAAAGAGAAGAAATAATAATAGGCCACCAATCGAATATGTTAAATCCCTTCCCACTAATCCCTTGATATAACCCCCCAAAACCCCTTTTTTAGCCCCCAATAACCCCCTTTTTTTTAACCCACAGATAATCCCTATTATTTCTGCAATGACACCAAATCTCCACGCACACCCGACTCCCAGTCGTCCAGCAGGGGCTTCTCGCTGTTCAAACGCCGCAACTCGAAGGGCAGCAGCAGCCCTCGGCCCATGGTGGTGTCCAATCCGGAACAGATGCGTCTGATCACATCCGCCAATCTCGACACAACGGCCACCATGGCCTTTGGCAGTCCGCGCGGCAGCTTCAACTCCCTGGGCGGCTTCTCACAAGTGAGTGTAGTACATCGGATTGGAGTTTCTGGCTTCTGGTTTATCTGAATCTGAATCTTCCACTGCCACTTCCTGTCGAGTGTTTTTGTCTAATGTTCCGCCCTCTTCCGCTCTCCCATTAGCAATCGTTTGAACTGCAGCCGATGCAGCAAATGTATCGCCAGCGATCGTCCAATTCACACTCGGAGTCGCGGGAGTTCCGCGAACGCCTCGGCTCCTGCAATGAGACGCACAGCTCCCAGTGCCCCGGCGCGGGAGCGGGAGGCACAGAGCACGACGAGGTCTTCAATCCGCTGACATCGCCAACAAGGTGAGTGATCAAGATCGGGATGGGGATGGGGATGGGGGTGCCTGCCGGTGACAGGATGTGTTTTTTTTTGCCATGCAGCTGTTGACAGTTTTACTCCATGCTAATCGTTGCCATACCATTCCATTCCATTCCTCATTCCTTATTTTAGCAGCAAATCCCATCGCCATCACACACTGCCAAGTGGCGGCGGCGGCGCTGGAGGAGCACGACGCCATTCGTTTGGCAATTGGTCGCAGCAGCAGGGCGATCGGCAGCGCCAGAACACAGCCACATCGATGGGCCTGGGCTCCCCGGATGAGGTGCCCAGCATGATGGCTCCACGGCCGCCCGTCCATTCGCCCAACAAATTCCGCGGCACCTCCCATCGACGAAGAGGTAAGTCCACAAAATATTATTTTTTTTGTATTCACTTATTTTGGGGGCAAAACTTTATAGAAGGCGACTTGAGGTGTGACTTAAGATGCTGCCACAAAATATTTCTCTCGTCTACAAATGTCACCTGTGTTCCCTGTAGTCCAATATACCCGCTCCAGTATTCTCAGCTCTCTATACCCGACCACTCCGCCCTGGCATTGACAGAGACAAAGACAAAGTGTTTGGCAAATTGCATTCCCTGCCCTCGATTCGCGTTCGCATTTTTGCACTTTGGCGGCTGTCAGTCCCCCTGGCCTGAGGTACCCCCCTCCCAAACGAAGCTTTGCATCACGTTTGCATATTAAGCGCCTCGCTCTGCTCCTCTGTTTGCCCGCTGCTCTGCTTCTCTGCTGCCCGGCAGGCGCCATCGATCTCGCGCCCCTGTGCCCCATTTCATGTCCCCTCCAACAACCGGGGGAGGAAGGGCGCCTTCAAGCCTCACTTGCTGCATTTAACAACATTGCAATGTTTAACCAAGTGATAATTGTAATCGGGGGTTTTGTTCGTGCAGTGGATCGATTGTCGCCAGAGAGTCGCCAGAGAGACACCGCCACCGCCTCCACCTCTGGGGCTTCTGTTTTCTGTTTACTGTGTTGGGTTTTGTGCTGGGGATCGTAATGAGGCGACGCTGACTGACATTTGTGACTGGCCTGACATTGACAGTCCTCCACGCCATGATGTATGCCACTGAGGCGGGCCGCTGCATGCCAGATTCCAGTCCGCCGCCCCTAGAATATAAGGAATATACACACAGATCCGCACATCTGCCTTCATCCTATATATCGTACGAGTATATATATATATATATATATAGTATCCCCCAGTTAAAGTCAGTCAGTTTATGGTTTATGATCCATTCAGGACTTCGCTGCACGATCGTTGTGTATTCATCAAAACGTTTTCAAGGTTTCCCTTTTCTTGACACTGAGATATGATGGATACTCTCTGGATATGATTTAAGACTTTCGGAGTGACTGATAATCCCAGAGAGATTATCTCTTGAAGAGCCACTTGAAAATGGCTTCTAGGTGAGTGTTTGAGTGGTTTTCCTTTTGGAATGATATTCGTTCTGTAAAGAGCAGTGATTGCATTTCCAATTCTAGCACTTGATATTTCCGATTGGATCTCTCCTCCATTTCTGTTGTTTATCCTGCTACTTTGATGGATATTATTTTATGGAAATTCCCCTTATTTTTCAGCTAAGAATATAACGCCTTTGCCTTGCCGCATTAAGCGACTAAATTCTCATTCATCTACTCCCATTACTCCCCATTTGAATTGACCCACTTCTCGCACTCCCTACTTTGTCGTTAGGGCAATCTATTTCGTACTGCTCCTTATATGGAACTCTGACCAATTCCATTCAATCAGAGCCAAGCACTTGGTGTCTTGGGGGGCAATTAACCCACAACACCCACATGCAATTCCGTTTTAACACCTTAAATTATGGCCGATGGAAAACAAACGAAAACTTTGCCATATTTGTGGGTGTTCCAATGCATTTTCCCCCCCACCCCACCCCACCCACCGCACTCCTAAAATGTTGGTGTATGTTAATGAGGGGATGGATGCCCCTCGGAGACACACATTTCCGCTTGGTTTTCAATATGGCAACAATGGAAATTGCAGCAGTATTATTTTATGCTGGCTACCAAATGCTGAAGCAAACGGAAAAGGGAGTCAGTCGAGTCTCCTCCATTCAGAAGTCAATAAACCAATTGGAGTGGGGGGGCATGTTGCGCTGTGGGGTGTGGCAGGCAAACGAGTAAAGTAAATTGGAAAAACTGCACATCCAATATGAAACGGAACTTTGCATAATTGATGGGGCAGACATCGGGTCTTTGGCTTTGCCTTTGGCTTTGGCTTTGGCTATGTGGTCTCGCTTCTCAAACGTGTTAATGGCACGGAAGCATAAAAGGAAAGGGAGAGATAGAGGCGCGACCCCATCTCCCACCCACTGGGTGCCGGGGGTAGGCAGTGGAGTCCAACTGTTTAGCATATGGCGCGTGCCAGTCAAACGATTGGCCAAATTTGGTCCTCCACCTTCCACCTCCTCCCACTTTGTATTCACAAATTGGCAGCACAAACAGTGAACACATCAAAGCAGGAACAGCACAGCAACAGCAGAGCAACAGCAGCAGCAAGAGACTCCTCCACAAATTGCTGTTTACTTTGGCCATGTTTCTCTTCGTTTTTGTTTGTGTGTGTGTGTGTGCGGTTTCCCCATAATATACTCGTACTTCAGTTTATAAAATGAGGTATGCCCCCCCCTCGTGGCAATATGCCATTTATCAATTTTTTACACTGTTTTAATTGCTTCAATGGCTGTGGAATGTGGCAGGTGATTTGAGGTCAGAAACGTCGGAAAGAGTAGCAGCAACAGAAGCGGAAAATTCTCCACCATTTTCCTCTTATGGCGTTTCTGCTTTTCGTTGCACTTGTTTATGCATCTTTCTACCCCAATCTGGTCTGGTTCGTCTGGCTTCTGTTTTCAATTCTTGGAACATCTGCTCATCAGATTACACTGGGGGCTCCCGAAGTGTACCCCTCATACGCATATCCATCCAGTCGGGGGTTCAATACACTGCTCTAGACCAGACCCCTCTCGCTTGGGCTCTCTTGTCCGCTGCCTCTGCGCATATCAAACAGCACCGAACACTGAACAGGCCGCAATATCCTATTGAGGGACCAAAATGTCTGCCTCCACACCTGTTGCATTCATAACTAACTAACCAGCCAAAGATTTGAGCAAAAGACAACTTAATTAACATAATTTTTGGTAGGATAATAAGTGGGTACCTAAAACAACTTAAATTTTGCTCACGTTTCAATTTTGGGAAGTTTCCTTTTGCTTCTTGCGAGTGTTGTGGCTTGTGGCTGTTTTTGTGACTATTTGAGAGCTGGGCACTCCGGTAGCAGGTATATCCTGATGGAATACGACAGAATGGTTGCTTTGGAGCATACTTTATAGAATCACAGCAATAAATATTCTCTATTAATAATTCTGCTGAAATTCTAGCAATTTCTCAATGCTTCTTAGAAGCCAATAGAGGATTCACTTAATTTTATCTACCTATACCTGAATCTCCTTCATTATCCCTCATACTTCCTCTGTGGGAACTTCTTGGAAAACAGTTTCCATAAGCATTCAATGTGCTTTCAACTCTAATCCAATCTAAGCCTTTCTTCTCTTAAAAGAACGCTTATAAGCCAGAAAAAAAAATTATTATATATTAAATTATTAATTATTAAAAATATTTCTTGGCCCATTTATAATTATTATCAATTTTATTTGGTTTATTTTGTTGTGCTGTTTTCCGTTTCTGGAGTTTATGTTGCTGCCATTTAAATGGCTATAAAACTACTTATATTTTATTATGACTTTTTTGCTGGCGATCCTAACTGTTGGGCAGCCGCCGCATATGGCTCGAAGGGGTTGTTGCGGATTTATGTACGGCTCCAGTTGGGTATAGCTAGCGACAAAAGGCAATCAGAGATCTTCTGTTGATCGCTTAAAATGCTATAATGCCGTTTATGGCCCGGGACTCCGAGCGAGAGGGTTCGGGGTTGCTTATTAAAAATGGACAATGCGTTGATTAAACGTCACGGGCACGTACAACAACAGAAACAGCGTTGACTTTTATTATTTTATAATCTTCCAATGCATTGTTTATCCACGAAAGAGAGGTGCAAAGAGAGTGTGCAAAAGAGAGAGAGAGAGAAGCAATTGGGAGAGAGAGAGAGAGCTCATTGATATTCTTGGCATTTCGAGCCGCTAGGAAGGCCCAAAGCCAAGCCAAAACGCAAGCTTTTGCCAGTTGAAATTGAAGGACTGTGGCAGCTTGACGTTTGAAGCGTTGCGCATGCGCATTGGAAAACAAAGGGCTACAGCTAAATAACTCTTTAGAACAGTTTGATAATATATATATATATATCTGCAATCATTGATAATGATAATTGATTTATGTGCATGGTGAATGGTGCTGTGAAATACAAACAAAATGCTGCTACAAATGGAAAACATTGAGCTGGAAACGTTCTGTTGCGGTAAGTAGAGGAGTTTTGGATCAGGAAAAAGAAGAAGATACTTTACAGATACTTATGGAATACTTTATGTAGTATCCTCTTGGAAAACACTGAAAACCAATTAGAAAACCAAGGCATGGAAATGGAAATGCGTAAACTGATTTGAGCGGAATGTTCAAACGCGCACTTAAAATGCAGACAATGCACCCGTTTAGAGGTTTTTCAAGTCTTCGAGAGTACTATCAATGGGAAGGGATAAAGAAAGGGATTCTTAAGTGGTGGAGCACTAGAGAGAGGCTTCTTCACATTAAATGTTATCCCTTTTGTATGATAATCAAAGGATTTTTAAATAATGCCATGCAATGGAGTTGTACCCCGTACGTGCGGCATTATCTGAATTTTGGAATAAGCCGCACTCGGCTGGGGGGCGCACAGACTCTCCTGTCCGCAGCACGTGTTCCGCTCAGATGAGGGACACGGCTTCAAAAATAGAGCACAGATTGAATTTCCGTTTAAAACAGTCTAGACACGGGTTTTCCATCCCTCTCCCCACCCCCCATTCTTTTCTAATTATTAAAAAAAAGAGATGAACAGGGAAACGGAAAAGAGCGGAAAATGTAAAGCCAGACATAAAAAGTGGAGCCCCAAGCCGTGCATTAAGGGGGAGCTGCAGCAGAGAGGGAGTGGGCGAGGCAGCTGCTGCCCCTGAAAACACACAGATGTGCATCCAGTAGAAGGGGACAGACGGAGGGACCCATAGCGCGTGCCCTACGACTAGGCTTCAAAAAGTATTCATATTACTTGTGTGTTTCTTCGGTTTCTGCTGCCCTTCTGTTGTGGTTGTGGTATAAAAATAGCAAACAAAAAAAAAAAGCAAACAGCAATTATAAATTGAATTGAATTGAAAGGGCTGTGCGTGATGGTAATGCAAGAAC